AATCTACTCTTTTGTATTCTTCTCATCTTTTTTTTTCTAACAAGAAAACATTCTACGTAACGAACTGATTACAGGTGGAGAATTCAGGAGCTTTCCACAGTTGTTTCACTTTAGTGTCACCCTGCCCATTTTGGTCAGTCTGACATGCAATGTTTAGAGGACTCTCCTACAAATGCCCTGGTAAGGCTGAGAGTTAGCTCTTCCTCTTGAAATGTTTTCACAGATGGCCACGCTGTGGTGCGTGCTACTTATATTGATGTAAGTAGTATATCACGCGAGTTAAAGAACGTAATGTATGGCAGCAGGAGATGGGGAAAGATCAAGAAAGGAAGAGCGAGAACACAATGCAGTTTGTAAGAAACCGCATGAACAATGAAATATAAGACAATGTATTGATGTTTGCAACGGCAACAGTCCGGTTTGATATGATAGAATGATATTTTTCAAATTAACGATTTACTATATGGTTTTTCTATTTTACCAAGTAACTCTGTAATTTTGTGCTAAATACATTCGGTTGTCCCCACTCGTGTTCTGTTCACTACAACGCGTATACAGCCACTGTCAGGGAAGTTCTACTCATTGCCTTCTCGTGCCACGTCTCTAGGACTCCAGCCAGGGAGTCGTGATGGACCAACACAAGCCAATCCTTTGCAGCTTTCTTTCATACCACGACACCATGTCATGCACTGACCATCTCTCCACTTTTTCCAACTAGTCCCAGAGTCGGCATATAATGCACGACGAGGAATCTCTCTGGGACGACATTCGTAGAACATGTCCAAGCCACCGAAGTCAAAGTTTCAAGATGGTGACACCGATTGGATTATCGTCTCTGTGCCCGAACACACGATGCCGAACCTCTGAATTACTAACATGGTGTTGCCACTGGATGTCAGCAATCCTTCGGAGACAGCGATGATCGATAACAGAGAGTTGTCTAACGTCCTCAACTCGGAGAGGCCAGGTTTCACAAGCATAGAGTGAAACTGCCCTTACTGACGCGTTGTAGATCCAACCTTTTACAGCCAGACTGACATCACGAAGGCGCCAAACATGGCCCAGATTAGCATAAGCCGCTCTGGCTTTCACTATACGTGCACTGATCTCATCACTTACACCCCCACCAGCACTTATGCAGCTACCTAGGTACACGAACTTCTCGACTACTTCTATCTGCTCACCATCCAGGGTGAGTACAGGATTTGAATCCTGCCAGTCTTGTTGAAGTACTTTGCACTTCGAAGGTGCAAAGCACATACCGTAGCCCCCAAATGCCCTGGTACGGCCGAGAGTAGGGAGATTCCGTCCCCCATCTCGAAATGCTCTCACACGGCCACACGTATATAGCCTCTCCCAGGGAAGTCCTACTCACTGTCTTCTCGTGGCAGGGGTGTTGTTTACGAAAATGAGAGGACGAAAAGCGAATGTCCTGCGCTTTAACCAGATCCAAAACCAATGGTGCACATGGGCTCCAGTATCCTGCGGGAACAAATGGCGTATGAACCAATCGTTGGTAACCGGCTATTATGGGACTGCATCTCCTTACGATTCTCCATTGCCTTGTGGGTCAGACATTTAGGTCGTCAAAGGCTCGGGGTGTGGCCCCCTAAGATAACCACTTGCTTAGGTCTGGGCACCTGGGCAGTATCGCAGTCCACACGCAAATGATGAACTCTCTATATCTATGGAAACTACTTTTCCCGCTTCGAATAACAAGTACTTTGCACTTCGAAGGTGCAAAGCACATACCATAATCTCAACTACTTCTAAACGTCAATTAGAACAATAAAGAAGAGGCATGTATTGAGAAGAAAACCTTTATTTAAAAGTTAGTTTCCGTACAAAAAAGACAAGGGTACCTATAGAGTTAAACACGACCTTAGACTTCTGAAAATGTCTGTAGCTGTATACAGCTAAATATCTAATCAAAACTGTGGCATCAAGATTCTGGATGTTTCTGCTGAGCTTCTTTTCGATTTTTAATTGAATAAAGTGTTTACCGGCATTTCTGAGTTTCTAGAGACTTTGGAGATGAATGTTTTCAAACAAATCGGTACGTATTTTTGTAAGATATCGTATTAAAGTTATTTTCATGTCATAATTACTTGTTGAGGCAAATGATAACCGGAATATGTAGAATAGACTTGTATATTTTAAAGTCTATCAGTAGCATCATCTTACCATTTATATAGTCTTTAATCATATATTTATATATAATAATAATTTTTACCAGGCTATAATCGATCGAATGTCAGAAGTTCAAGAAGAAAATTGTACTCTTCGAAGATGTAAAAAACGTTTGGAAGCAGATTTAATGGCTAAAAGCAAAGTTATACAAAAGAGATTAGATGATTATCTTCAATCTCCATTAATTTATCATGGTAACAATGACACTGTCACTGCTACTACTACTACTTCAATACCAACTTCAGCAGTATCCTCAAGTCAGTATCGATCAGTTCCGTCAAGTATTTCACCGTATACGTCTGCAACTACTCCATCTTCATCAAATTTCCCTAATTCAACGACATGGTTTCCATTCTTGAGAAATCTCACTTCAACATCAGACTCATCAACACTGACATCAGCGTCAACATCATTATCCAGTGTGAATTTACAAACAGTTAATCGATTGAAATTCATGTGTGAACAATTAATGACAGAGAATATTGAATTAAAAGAGAAATTACAAAGTATACCATAATCAATTTTGTCCTGATCCCGACAGATAAATAAGATTGTGTATGTGTGAGTGTTTGTATGTATAGATATGTGTTCTTTTCTTCAACCTACTATTTGTATGATTTTTATTGAAGAAACTTTTATTCCATTCCAGTGTTGTTGTTGTGTGTGTTTATTTACTTTTCGGTGCTGTTCGATTTTTAGAGTTTGTTTCTTTTCTCTCTATTACTTTCTTGTTGCTCAGATCTCATCATTTGTTTATTGTTTCTATAATGAAAAACACAGATTATTTACTTACTTATTATTTACTTACCTGTGTAGTTTGATTTTTGTCCCCCCCTTTTTTTCATTTTTTTAAATAGAAAAAAATGATGTGTGGGTGTGCTTCTCTGTATCTTGGTTTCTTGACAAAGAAGAACCCAGTGTTTACATAACTTGTACAAAAAAAAAAGAATTTCTAAAAGTAGTATGCACTGTTTTTCTTTATTTTAATTTGAGATTATTATTATTTTGTGTTTGTGTCTCGGTGATACATACATATATGAATATATACGCACTCACACACACACACACATACGTGTACGTATATGCATAGATATATGTGCACACTAATACACTTAACACTTATCCAAATTACGCACAAATTCACTTTCATACACACATTCAAGTACACTTTCACACAGACATACATATCAGATACAAATATACCGATATATTTATACAAAATTACATTTATATATATAGAAGATCGTTTTTCTAGAACAAGAAGCACTCAAAGTATCCTTTCTTCATTAAGGTTTCTCATTATACTTTCATTACTATTATCATTATTATCAGTAATACTTAATCAATCTTTTTGTTAATTGCACAAATATTTTTTTGCCTTTTAAGAAAATTTGTTTCTTATTCTTGTAAATGACATTGATGTTTGTATAATGGTAAGTTACTTTATGGTGATTTTTGTTGTTGAAGAAGGAATTATTCGGCGAACAGTGTCAAATTGTATACATTTTCAATAAAGTTGAATATTCAATATTTGATTGATCTTTAGATAATACTTGTACCCTAATCTACATTGTAACAATTCTAGCTAGCTATATTGGTTATATATACATTCAAAAAAACTCATCATATTCCGAGTAGATGATTTTAGTTTACAGTATGAGTGAAATTGTCAAATTTTTGAGCAGAGAGTTGTAATATTGAATTAATTGGGGTTTTGAACATGTGTCCACGGTCTTCACTAAAAATTTTTCCTATAGAGAAAAGGGGAAATGACGCACACCTACATATACACATTTGTATTTCACTGATTTTTATTGTTCACAGTAAGGTTCAAAAGGTTTAGAATTAAGATAACGAAAGCTGAAACAGGATATGCATGAAAGAACAATACGTAATTAGTCTGAAGTAGGTTCTCCTTGAGATCTAAGGTCTCTGTGGCCAACAACACTAGACCCGTTTCATTTTTCAGTTTCTCAATAAGAATATTACTTTTCAACGATGTATAACTAATCATAATGTGTCAATCGTCCATAATGTTTTAATTATAGTGTTTTAAGTACTTAGAACATCAGCTCTAATGCCAAAATGGTATTTAATTATATGAATGAATAAATTTCGCACTAACCTGATATGTCTTGTCGATCGAACGCTATATTCTTTTTCCTAAGCTATTAATTCTGGTAACCCGCAGTCTAGAACTACACAGCGACTTGAACATCAGAGAGAAGACACAAGTATGAGAGAAAATACTTTATCCCAAGGTTCATTTTTGTACAGAAAATCAAGGGTATTTATAGATGGCGTCTGTTAAATCAACATCATATTTCAGCCAATCCGTTGACGTCATATTATGCTACCGACCAATAATAGCACGCCACGCTGGAATTCTCGAACATTCCATCGTACTCTGATTGTCTAGGATCCTTCGGCTCCTTTTGGGCCTCTGGAGGCTCCGTCGAAGTTCTCCGGAAGCCGACTCAACACAAACCACAAGACTTACTGTTTTTGATTTCATTGGTTCGTCCACAAATTATAGTCTAGGTGATTCTACTGAGAGTTCACTGTGTTGGCTGCTTATTTTTTTGTTTTTGCTTATATTTTATTCTTAATCGTGAGTTGGGTAGTTTAGAACTAAATCTACGTATGACATTGGTCTAGTATCGTGACGTACTATCTGGATTATCGATCGAGTTAGTGACCAGTCTAATGATCCTATATCAAATCACCTGATTGACAAAAAAGGTCGTTTCTTCATTCTAGAAAAATATAACAACCGATATCCAGAAAGAAAGAAAAAACTATCATTTATTGTCAAATGTATGCATATATTTGCCTATCGAATTAATATATTCATCAACGGTACAGTAGTACGCATGAACATATGTACAAATATAAACGAAAAGACAAGAACAGCAAATAGGTTTAGTACAAAGATGAGGAATAAAAAAACAACTACCAATACAAGCCTATTAAATATAGCGAAATTCGAATTAATCACCCTGGCGCCCCTAACACACAGATACATAAATACCAAGTTAATTGTAATCACATCATGTAGACGTAGGAAGCGTGAATTATCACTGTGTTGATAAAGCAAAGAAAATGGATTATGTACGTTTCTCAAATATGAAGAAAATGTTATACATTACAACATCTTAAGTCAAAATTTGTTCTCTTTTTTTTGGAGAAAGAATGCTACAATGACAACAATTATTATTAAACGTTTCGACCAGTTTGATATTGAATAGTTGAACGGAATTTAAACAAATTATTTATGAAAACCATAGCCTTTTGCTCATTCGCTTCATTTTCTCCATGCTTTAATAGTAGACTGCTATCAATTGTATTACCATTATTATTAGAATACGATTTCATCATAAAATCCATCGCTTGTTTTTCATCATAACCGCATGTCATCAAAGCGTTGGTTATATCAATACTGTTTATACTTGTATATTCATTTTTCAATGTTTCCCAATTTGTGTCAATCGTATCAAAATCTAAACAATAAGAATTGGAGACAGTAGTTTTGGTCAATTCTGGATTGGCAATTGCATCAACCTGTATGTAATTGATTTTCAGAGTAGAAAAAACACAATATTGATTATTATATAACGTGGATATTCAAAGACAAGATTAATGAGTGGAACTATAATTTATGGACGACTTTCAAGCGACGCTAAAGTGACATAGAAAACGTCCACCAACGTACTAGGGCTAATTGAGTGTTATAAACCTGTGTGAAGAATAAGGATTATGGTTAGGGTTAGGAATTAGACTTAGAGGTTTCATCACGAGCTAAATTCAACTAAAATGCCAAAACGCTATTTAGCCAAATGGATGTAAATGAATTTCGCGCCAAAATACAAAACCTGTTATCATTAATCTGATTAATATGTCCATAAATTATAGTCTCGCCGATTCATGAGTTTCACAATATACGACCCGATTAAAATCGATTGTTGGTTTTTTATGAGAAATTAACACAAACACAAGATTCTATGGACAATTTTGATGGAGGAACTATGATTATTCACATTATCTTGAATATACAATAAATGTTATTATATTAAGCCACTTTTTGATCATTTTTTGTTGTTGCTTCATTTAATATATGAATCTGAATATCATAGTGTAACTGTTATTTATTTTATTTATTTGAACACATAAATATTAGTACAAGGGGGCCCCATACATATGCACCACACAAGTCACTTGATCTGTGTGTGGGCTGTGATACTGCCCGGGTGCCCAAACCGGAGCAGGTGGTTTACTTAGGCAGCCACATCCAGAGCCTTCGGCCTAAAAGTCTGATCCAAACGGCAGTGTAACAACGTCAGGAGATGCAGTCCTGTGGTAACCGGTGACCAGGATGCTGGAGCCTATGTGCACTATTAGTTTGAAATCAGGGTTTTCCAACTCCCCTAAGTGGATCCTCCATATCCACCAACCCGGTTAGAGCGTCGGACATTCGATTTTCGTCCTCTCAATTTCGTAAACAACACCGGTGGCGCGAGAGGGCAATGAGTAGAACTTCCCTGACAGTGGCTGTATACGTGTGGCCATGTGAGAGCATTTGCAGAGGGAGAGTTGACTCTTCTCACCCTCGTCCGTACCAGGGTATTTAGGGAAAAGTCTCGCTTCATCTACTTCAATTTAAACGACCGATAACTTACTACTAGTAATCCTACTTAAATTAGAGGTCATAGCCAATCACACTAATGTGTACTTATTAATAATAAATAAATTAGTATGTAGTGATATTACATTTGTAAAATCTATTGTTTTTTTCTCTCTTGATCATGGAAATCTATTCAACAGTATTGAAATTAATGTATACAATAAACAACTCATAACCTACACACGCAACACAAACATACTTGGAAAATAGATAAAACACTCAACATGAAGTGTAACAATAGTAATAACAATAATAATAATGGATCCTCTGATCAATTCTAAAAATGAAGTGAATTTAAAGGTCAGCTAGAAAAGAAAAAAACACTGATCGATAATGACCAAGCTACGGTTTAAAGTGAAACATGGTAATCATTTAACAAGAGAAAGTAATAATAATGACAGCGAAATCCGACTCAAAGCCCAAACTTGGTGCTACTATGTAGTGAGAGCAATCCTGTTAGCTAATATGGATGGTGAGCGGAGATCGGACTAATCCATTTCACTCCTGTAAATCGGACTAATCAGGTTCAAATCTCGGGGTTTACTAAAACCTTACAGGCTGTCCGATATGGATGCTTATGTATCAGAATTAAATGAGTCTCAGCTTGTAAAGTTTATGAGTGTATATATATGCAAAGTGTACGAGCATCTGTTACCGCAAGAAATGGTAAGCTGAAAAAAATGTCTCCCATATGTCTAATAAAATCAGAGGCCTAATTATTCAGGTCGAATAGATAATCAAAAATATGGTAGCTAATAAAAAAGAGATGACCGTAAACCCTCCCTGAAACAGTGCTTATGATTATATGTCTGTCATTCAGTTCAAGGGCGAAAGTCTTTGTACCAGTGGTATGCATGTAATGAGTAAGTGATAGTCAGTTGAAGCGAATACATTCAAATGAAGTGGTGACCATCTACACTGCCAGGTGGGTAAATATAAGTATCTGTATGCTAAAGGATGCATGGGTGAAAACTTGTTACCAGTATGCGCATAGACCATACTTGCCCCTGGTGCGCTGACCGTATGTCAAGACCCGGGGTATCGGCTTCTCCACAAAATTATTTATTTATTTGATCACATAGATATTGGTACAAGGAGGCACCAAATACATATGTGCCACATAAATCTCATTTGATATGTGTGAGGGATGTGATACTGCCGGGGTGCCCAGACCGAAGCAGGTCTCCATAAGATTACGTTCACGGTAAATTTGTGAGCCTTGAGAAACGGGAACTGTCCCCAGTCGGCTTCAACGGATAACGTTTGATCAAATTTAACCAGACTAGAACACCGTATATTAAAGAACACGAAATTCAGTGAATGGATCTTTTTCCAACGAATTCATTATCAAGCTGCATAATCATATGTACATATGAAAATTTTAATTGTAAGTTTTAATCCCTTGAGGATATATGAACAAGAAATAGTCATGACGACGTAACTTTTTGGTGAAGTTTTGTCCTCTGAGATGGATGGTTAAGCCGTTGATCTTTCATCGTTCTTCTGAACGATATCATCAGCGCAAACGTCAGGCAGAAGTGATGACGTAAGAGAACGTTTGTAGTGCTGGATTAAATAACGTACAAAGGAAGTACCTCTAGTCTTTATCATGGCCTTAACCCATTATTATCATTATTCTATTTCATATTTGAAAATATGCCCATCTCTTTTTAGTCATTTTTCATATTCTCATGATCTTAATTATAATTTATTTCTGATATCACTTCATTTCGTCGAACCCTTCTATTACCTTTGATTATTGTAACAAAACATTTGTCCAATCTGACAAAGTTAGAACCATGAAAGCTCCAGTACGTAAGTTAACAAACGAGTTTCGGTAATAACCTGGAATAAAACTATATGACCTCGGATCGTTACTACTGGTGATGCCTGGAGAATAAAGATGAAGTCATAGGAGAAGTACTGATAGTAGAGACGGAAGAAATACTAAGAAGTGATGAAAGGATTTATTTGGGAACCATGAGATGCATTAGTTTTACAGCCGACATTTTCTAACCTGCCCTTCTTCATTGTGAAAAGGCAGTATTGATGCGAAAGATAGTTGTCTGAGGGGAAACACCTATCCTGCTATCATGCTCCCCGTATCATACAATCGACAGCATGAATTCACTTTCGGACATCGAACTGTTGCTTCAATTCCTATCGTCCTCAAAATGACCTAGATGAACTTGTATCTGTCGCAAGTTAGATCGTAAGATGATAGCCATTGAAATATACATGGCACCAAGCCTCGTATATAATTGTCGACTTTGTTCGCGTTAGTGAATAGCGGGATAAGTCAGATACGATTAATTTTGAATACGTTTATTTCATACGCTCGTTGATCTAGACAGACAGTCAGGGAAACGAAGAGAATAAAACGGATAGTTTCGTTGGAAAAATGGTAAACGAAGCGATGCGCAGCAAAGACGAGTGAGCAAACGTATGACCAAGCGTATCTCAATATTTATAGTCAAACCAAAGATAATTTACAAACACGTAATGAACAGAGTGAGCAATTGACACACCTACCATCATACAGAAAACATTCAGGGTTAAGAAGCGAATAATCAACAAGGTCAAAATGTGGCATGAAAAGATTGAATAAATTGGCCCATCCAGAAGCCAGAATAACCTGTTAGCTTGTTATAGTACCAGACACTACAGAACAAATGTTACAGTCGACACAGATCAATTGAGTCATTATAATATGCAAGCCTAATCATGATACATCAAGGTAGAAGCATCTACAATCTAGATCTCGATATAGAGTAATGTTTAAAAAAGGTGATTAATTTCAAAACGACGAATAACTACACAAAGCTTTATTGATCGAAGCTCTATATACAAGCAAGAACTGTACTGGACAGTTATTCTATTTCACAAATTGAATGAGTTTGTAAGATGTGGATTATTGGATTTCAGATTTCAACTGATCTGCTAAATATGCTCTAAATTTGATTAAGTCTGGGGCTGTGTCAGTAAGCTCTACAATCATTGATCAATAATAAACCATGATTATAAATAGTTTTCAAATGCCCCTCATGAATCTCAATGATTTTTTTAAAGATTAGTATCTCAGCGTTCAACGAAATTAAGTTTGGAACACTTTATGAATGATTTATCAATACCCACATTTTTAAATAAATGAGTCAAATTGTATTTCAACTGACTGTATATGCAGTTAGTTATAATCAATGTAGATAGAATCAAGGCAGAAAAAAAGAAAGAATATTACATTTGAAAATCGAGAGTAAGATAAAGAGTGAATGTAGCTGAACTAGGCGAGACTATAATTTATGGACGTATCAGTCAGATTAATGATAACAGGTCTTGCATTTTGGAGCGAAATTCATTCACTTATTTGTCTGAATAGTGTTTTGGCATTTTAGCTGATGTTAGTTTGTCTAATTCCTAACCCTAACCATCAATTGTAAATCATAATCCTTATTCTTCCCACAGGTTTATAACACTCATTTAGCTCTAGTAAGTAGGTAAACACTCTCAAGATTACTTTAGCTTCGTTTAAAGGTCGTCCATAAATTAAAGTCTCACCAGTGGCCCAAATTAACCTCTCATCAATACAATGTTTACTTACCTGTACAAATAAAGAACGTTGTTTTTTAACATCCAAATATTCTGTTAAGAAGAAATTCAATAAACTTTCTTGGGTAATAGTTGACAAAATTTTCACCTAAATAAATAAAAATATACGGTATAATATTACTATCTCCTTTACTGTTATCATAAAGCAATTACACTATAGAGGTTTGCACAGATAGTTGAGTTTTATGGTTTAAATCATAGACTTATGATCTTTTTCAAACAATTATTGAAAATCAAGAAGCACTGGACAACTGATTCATCCTCGTATAAAACGACTCCGGAGTTTGAATCCATGATACCAACATGAGTCGTAAAAACGACCTTCAGATTTTGCGGTGAGCGCTTGACAATCAGACTACGTGACCTGAATTTTCTGGGTTCATTTCCGACAGAGTCGTGGATTGGTGCACTTGGAGAGTCATGTGCTAGGACTGCGCTTTTTTCACGTTCTTCATGGCTTATTATAGTTAGTTAGGACCGGCCTATAATGTAAACGATGAAACTACTGTTCATTTTGTCTTACCGATCTTTTCCCATTTTATTATTAACTTGTAAATCAGTTACTGAGTGTAATATCATTTGTATGTCTGTATGTGTGACAGGCGAGGGGAGAGGAAAAAGATATCTTTCAATAAATATTTTTTATATACGACAATAATCTTTTATTCCACCACTACATGCAACTTAATTGCTCTAGAAATATGATTGTATAAATTGATCAAATAAAAACCAGGGAACACTGAATTTCTCAACAATCTGCAAGCACAATCCTAACTTAAGATAGAATTCAAGACTGCCAGGTGTTTGAAGCGAGAGCTTAATCCGCAGATCATCAGTGAGTCAATCAGTCAGCTACAATGTAGGACAAGTGAGTCGACATCCAATATTCGACATTTTTAACTTTAGTCGATTCATGATATTATACGATCACCATTGATTGCTATGGATGACTTCATTGGTAAAAACCTTCTCACTATAAGCCCAGAGATTACCATTAGTGGTTATTAGACATAAGTGTTATATCAGGACAAAAAATAACGGAAAGGTAACTTCCAAGACTGATTTATGGACTATTATCATACATATTCTTGTTGTATAATTATTAGGTAATATATAAATGCTCTTTTGAACATAAGCTTTCGGTTGATTTATTAACTACTGTTACATTACTTACTATTCTTAATTTGTTGCTCGTCTATCACATACAGTCTCCGTTATTTACAGTCACTTTTGGATGTTATTTTTCATTTTATGATGTGATGTGGTCTTTTATGTCTGTATATAAACTAAATCTATTTGAAATATAAATATATTAGAGGTTGGTCGCTGACTTTCGAACTGAAGACTGGGCATAGAGAAGAGTCAGTGAGTAGTGGACTAATAGAGACCTAGCTACCGGATCAAAGTTACTTGTGCCAGTTGAACGTGTAACTAAACAAGTTAGAAACACTAAATCACAGAAGTCGTGATTCCGATTGATGCCATTGTCATGTGGTTTTAATCAGAGGGTGAAAGACATAATAGTATGTGTTATATCATCACGAAGAATAAATGGATGGTAACTGCTAGGAATTATTTATGGACTACTATTACATATATTTTTATTATAAAACTATTAAGTATCTAGATTATACATGTATTCATATTCCGTTTATCATAAACTTTCATTTGATTTGTTGACTATTATTATACGATTTAGTATCCTTATGTTTTCTTAATTTATTAGTTACAGTATCTCGCGCTCACAGCCACTTTTGGCTTGATTCTGTATATTTGTTATTTTTCTATTTTACAGTATGATGCGGTCTGGTTTACTTGTGTATAAACTGCATATCTATGAAATATATAATTCATTCAGTGTAAGCCGAGATTGTATTCTGGACTCAAAAGAACAGGACTAGTCAAGAAGTTACTATACAGAGGACCAATTATCACTCAATGTTGATTCAAGGTTGATCGTGCTGGTTAACGCGTCATGGGTTTAGCACAAGGGGGCAAGGTCGTGTAAGTTAGTGTTCTGATTGCCGAACTTGTCATGTGATAAATAACAGGGCAAAAGTCATAACAGTATGATGGCTTTTTTATGAATACAAGAGGATTGTAGTGTTTGATATTTGAATGAACTTGTTTAAATGCAAATACCCAGTTGAAAATTGGGTTCAAATAGTTATGATATTTAGTTTGACTGTGATAATGAGTGAAAATTTCATAGAGAAAAGGTTTGAACACGTCTTACTGACAAAAAATATCAAAACAAAGATTAAAATCAATATTCATTCATAATTTACAATTTTTATTTGGACCTCATCATCTGACAGGTAAATAATGATATATATAACGATATATATAGATCACTTGGCAATCAGTGTCCGTAGGTACGGTATGTGCTTTGCACCTTCGAAGTGCAAAGTACTTCTACAAGACTGGTAGGATTCAAATCCTGTACTCACTCTAGCTGGTGAGCAGATAGTAGTCGAGTAATTCGTGTATCTAGGTAGTTGCATAAGTGCTGGTAGTGGCGTAAGTGATGAGATCGATTCACGTGTAGTGAAAGCCAGAGCAGCTTATGCTAATCTGGGCCAACTTTAGCGCCTTCGTGATGTTAGTCTGGCTGTAAAAGGTCGGATCTACAACGCGTCGGTAAGGGCAGTTTCACTCTATGCTTGTGAAACCTGGCCTCTCCGAGTTGAGGACGTTAGACAACTCTCTGTTATCGATCATCGCTGTCTCCGAAGGATTGCTGACATCCAGTGGCAACACCATGTTAGTAATTCAGAGGTTCGGCATCGTGTGTTCGGGCACAGAGGCGATAGTGCAATCGGTGTCACCATCTTGAAGCATCGACTTCGGTGGCTCGGACATGTCCTACGAATGTCGTCCCAGAGAATTCCACGTCGTGCATTATTTGCCGACGCTGGGACTGGTTGGATACAGCGGAGAGGTTGTCAGTCTATGACATTGTGTCGTGGTACGAAAGAAAGCTGCAAAGGACTGGCTTATGTTGGTCCTTCACGACTCCCTTATACCAATATTTACGTGTTCAAATAAATATAAATAATTTAATACAAATCAACCTACACATTCTTCACGATAATTAAAATTCGCTGTACTTTCCATAATTTCATCCCAATTTCTTTCAAATTCTGTCATCATATTAGGATCTTCTAATTGATGCACAGATATCAATGATTCTACCTATAGAAAGTTTTTTTTTAATACAACAAAACGTTTACTATGGTAACTGAAGTATAAACTGTAAACAATTTTATAATTCGATTGTTTGTTTATTAAACAAAAGAAAAATACATTAATCAATCATAAAGTGAAGGGATAGTTCAGTGATAAATGAGTTCAACTTTTAGTTCATCAAAGTTTCGATCTCAAACTACCGACACATACACTCTCTTCTAACTACTTCGGTTTAGGCGAACGAATTGTATAACTGATAGTCTTCAAAACTCTTAACAGTGTGGTTGAAAGTCGTATATATATTTGTATAAAGAATTTGTGAAGATTATGAATTCTATTGTTTACGTTACAGATTGACTGTAGATAGAAAACTATCGAGAGTCGAAAGCGGTAGACATGTGTTTTTGACGAAGAATGGGATTAATTAGCAGTAGACATCCACAACCCTGACACAGATCAGATTCATGACCTTCAGGACTTATAAAGAGCTTTCAACCTTAAAACACTTAAGTAGGGATCTAATGGTCAGAAATCCAAACTATGAAATGCCAAGTTAATAATTGAAAGGTACAAAATCCACAGAAACATAAATATAGAAAACAAGTAATCAACCAAAACTAGAACAGTAACGACCATTGAGAGAAAATGTAGATTGTCAATTTATGAAGAACTTAAATTGTACAAACGTACGGTATTTTATTCCAGAGACTAAAACTTGAGCGTTATTCGAATACTAATTAAGATCTCTTATTTACGAAAATGATTAACTGAACAAAGTCTATATTGTATAGGTATATCATCGACAAATTAAACGAAAAGGGGATCGTGAACATGGTCTTAACTGACTGGTACTATAGTCTTGAGAAATTCTTTAGACTTTATAGTCGGAATAACAGTGTAGAAATAAAAAAACCCAGGAAGAAAACAACATTCTACACTTACTGACGTTTTAAACGTTTCCGATGGCATAGCAGCAATAATCCTTGGAGCTATTCGACGCCAGAAAGCAGTCAATCTTCCAGCGACATAATCAATGGAATATTTATTAGCTGGACTATATGCTACTAAACTGATACCTGAATGTAATGTACCACCAGGAGATGATCGCCAATATCGGAGATAAACAGTATATCCTAAAGTTTCTTTAGTACGCAGATAATCAAAAGCCGGTTCAGATAATATAAACTGAAACATAAATACACAAAAGAAAACAAAAAAGGTTTAGTCGGATTAAAAAACGCGCGATTAAATTAGGAGAATTTTGCATATGAAAGGGTTATTTGATAAGAATTTCTGTTTCAATAGTATGCGAAATACAAATTTAAATTGTACTCACCTTTGTATTACACTGTAATTGTGAGGGCTAGTGATAATATTCAGCAGTTCAAGTCTAACTTTTTTTAACTTACGACTAATTAGTTAAAACATGAGTGGTTTAAAGATTACAGCCATCAGCGTCAGTAATATGCGGCTCCGTATATTACTTTGACTACTAAGATTTTAACAGTCTGGTAGTATTACGAGTCCTTGCCGATTGTACAAAATGAATGGCTCAAAGCTAAGTACCTGAATAGTTACTCACTAGACTAGATAATGTTAGGAAGAAATAAAATTGTTTAGTCTTATTACTTTTGTTGAATAAACAATATTTTTAACGTGTAATGAAGTTCACAGTAGCGTCTTTCCGATTCATAATTCGGCAATGACCTTTTCTACTGACAAATTCAATGATCTCGCTCTAAACTTGCTGCTTTTGTCGTGTCTCAGAGATATATTTATTGCTTTACAAATAAGGTTATTCTATCAAAATGTCGACTTGTTCGAATATTAAACTTTCACAGTTTTCAACTTTTCCCTTTTCAGTTGTATAGCGGATTGTTGTTGAAGTGTTATACATTAATTTCTTCGAATTATCTAGTTTAAGCCAATCCTGTTGGTTTCAACAGAACCGCTAAAAAATTTTCGTCGGTAGAAAATATTGTAAACCGTAATAAAACATAAGTTACCATGAACTAATATATATAATAGAATGGGGGGGTGTGGAGAGTGTAATAATTTTTAATAGTTGGATTCATGAGTCGATTTAACCTAGACCACCGTTGAAAATGTGGACGACCGTTTCGTCCTAGTATGGGACTACGCAGCATTTTGCATTCACGATTCCTCATGCAGGACACGAAGCAAGGACATTAACACCGTTGGATGCCGGCTCAATGGTCTAGAGGTTAAGCGTTCACGCGCGAGACCGAAGGTTAGTGAACTTCTTGTCCGTAGTGATAACAAACAGTCATTCAAAGATTAGCCGCATAAATCGAGGGGAAAATGCAAAACTAGTGAGATAAATAACAAGTGTGTCTGTGTATGTGTGTATAAAAAGAATTCTACTTACTGCCAATAGTTTATTATAGCATTGTTGTTTAATATCGGATTCACCAAGTAAATGTATTCTAGCTAGACACATATTTACATCGTTTGGATTACAATTCATAACACGTAGATAATATGTACCTGGATCTAAGATTGAGGTATCAATCTAAACAGAGAGTTGGATTATTTTTTGTAAAAATAAAAGAATACAGCTGTAAGTATTTTTAGTAAATCAAAAAATTTGGTAAAAGTCATTCGAGTAGAAAAATTGAACTATGAGGTGTAAAAAAACCCTATACGGATGAGTTAGTTATTACTTTGAATCGACGGATACCCCTTTGATTGCTGGATTGAGCCATGTAGGTAGGTACAAACTACTTAGTTGGGGTTCATGTGAATATCGTAAATAATCGTTAGAGATACTAGGTGACATGGTTTAGAATCATTTGCAATGGAATAGGTGGTTTCACTCTTTGCCTTCAACTGAATTATAAGCTTCTTAATTACCTTGAAAATTTTTAATTGTTTATCATATTAACCCATATTTTCTTCGTGAATCATATCTTTGCTACATATTCCTTTCTATTACTATGAATACTGTGACTACGTCCATTTCTCTGGGATTAAACTCGACAATTTCATCTCTATGCCAATGGGGAGTGGAAAAATGAAACGGCGTACACATGTAGCAGGTTCTATTTCACGTTCGGAAGAGATCTAAAGAAGCTTGAGGATAATGACTACCTGAAATTGGAAATCTATTCGTCTAGTAACATAAATGATTATATTTTATATCACAGACTAAACCGTAGCATGTTCACCACCACAAGATCTAAAGGTCACAAGTTCGATATTTTGTGTACGTTTATAGCCATACGTTTGTAATGCAGAGGTAATTAAGATCGTGACAACGAAATACAGCTTTATTATGTGCTCATCACTTGTTAAAAGCTTGCTTGTAGCCAAAACTATATTTAAATTAAGATGAGATATCTATATTTGGTATTCTGTAAATGTTTATCGGTATAAGTATCGCGTGACAAAATGAACACTCTCTTCTTCATCAGGATGTACAATAATAACTTATCAAACGCCACAACGTAATTTGGTTTATATCAATCAATTATAAGAACTACGAACATCTGTGAAGTTAGAATTCAAATCAAAAGGAAATACAGTCAAAATTAGTAGAAATCAAGACAGAAAAGGTGTTTACAACAACCAATCTGAATCAGATTTGACCGAACAAGCTGTGTTTAAGTCAAGACAAATCAATTCTATCAAACTTTTGTACTGATGATGTTATCTAGAAGGACAAGGAGTGTATAACGATCAAATTATTCACTACAGAGAGGACGGTTGTGGATAATGTTCATTCAGAGTTCTGACCAACTGTAAATAAGGCTGAATAAAGCCTATTCAACTAGCACATTGTGGATGAATGATCGATATCATAGAATTTTATTCTCAGTGCTAACAATAATATTAAGAATTATTAACATTACAAAAACTGAATAATGAGTGATCTTTATGAGCACTGAAAGAGACTTTATATTTTATTGAATATTCTACAAAATAACGCATTGAAGGTGTACCACACTATAATAAAAAAAGTTGGAAGGGTAAGGATAATAGTTGTAATTATATCAGATGGGCATGAGTCCAAGGCGGACAAAACATTTTATTAACTAGTATTCCTACTACTAATGAGTAGGTATATATGGTACGAGGAATTATGTTGACTGATTAGGGTTACACGTTGTGATTCTATGAAGATCGTAGATAATGATCGGTTTTAGTAATCTGGATGCACCTATCATTGGCCAATTTTGATTTGCGCGCTGAAATTTCAACTTATTATCTTTCGCTTTCAAGCTGGCAACATTGAGGCAATCCATTTAGGGTTTAATTACGTCACCAACATGGGGACTGATCAATTACAGTTGTTAACACTAACAACATGAAAATACGAAACTCTTATAATTAAGAGTTGGTACAGTTGGAAAACAATAATAATGTGAGTCAAAAGTATGAGGAAAATTCAATTTAATTAGATCAAGTTTACAAGGGAAAAAGAGAGATCCCAAAATACAGCACAGTGGAGACCAACCAAAAGGGAAAGCTATGGAAGAAGTTGAAACCTTCACGTACCACCAGGTAAGCATCAATTATAAACAAGGAGGATCTGGTGCAGATTTAAAGGCACGGATTCACAAAGAAATGGAAGCATTCCTACAACTAATGATCGTCCAAAACTCAAAACAATTGTCAGGTAAAAGCAAAGTCAGAATCTTCAATAACAACATCAAGACAGTTGCATTGTACGGAGTTAAGACCTGAAGAACTACTAAAATTATCATTAAAAAGGTACAGGTATTCATATACAGTTGTTTATGGAAGATACTCCATATCCGTTTGCCAGACACTATCAGCAATGACCTACTGTAGCAGAGAACAAATCAGTTCCCGGATGAAAACAAACTTAGGAAAATACTGTGAGGGTGGACAGGATACACATTGTAGAAACCACCAAACTGTATAAAAAAAGTAAGCCCTAACTTGAATTCCTTAAGACAAGAAGGAAAAAGGCAGATCAAAATAATATTGCTTCGAGAATTGGAGGTATACATCATAAGAATGAATAGGACTTGTCAACAACTGGAAAGGAGAGCCCATGATAGAGTAGATTGGATATTGCTGGTCGGCAGCCTATTCTCCACAAGCAGTAACATGCCTGAGTAAGTAAATTAAGGTTGAAGTTAACTTACCAACTTTCTTGTGGATCTAGGGATAGGTCGAATCTTCTCCACTGTATAATCAAAGAAAGAAATGGCATCCTACAGATAGTTGGATGGTAGGGGTGCGGCGGCCGCGGTGGTAATGATAGAAAACAAAAGAATATATGTAACAACGTGGAAGGTATAACAAGTTAAAAAATAAACATGAAAGCTCATATATTATGGTTATTCGTGTCTCCTCATTGATGTCTAAGACTGCAATTGATCAATCACTTTTAGACATATTTGAATCCTGTGCAGATTGTCTTGATATTACCAATAAGTCATAATCATTTTTAAAACAGTGACGAATCGCAGTTAATGGTTGGATCCAGGATGTGCGTTTCGTTCTGCTTGGAACTCATCAGCTGGATTTGCCCACATCCAAGAACTGATTTTAAAGTATAAATTACCAGGTTCAAGTAACTTATGAATTCAGTCGAAATGACAGGTTTAGAAGAACTGAAACTATGTAGTTTCATTTTACTCCTATTAATAAAAAGACGGTTCTGATGACCAAGGAATTCTTTGATACATTTTTTTCTATTCATATCAACCGCTATTAAAATCGTTTTAATTTGATTATCTGTTCCAAAGGCTAATGTTATTTGTTACATAACACAGATTTGTTGCATTAAAAACTTTAATTTCCTAGAATTACTGTCTTCTTTCCTATTAAAGTATTGTGTGAATTAGTCATTGAAACCATTATATCACGTAGATTGCGCTTGTATTAGGAGATATCTGTTATTTATTTATAATACGGATTAACCGTAAGGTAGTTGTTCAACAGAGAAGAATCAAACTTTTGATGCGACTTGCGTGTAGTTTCAGTATCCAATAGCTCAAACTAGATTAGACGGAGACAGATTTGAACTTGTTAGCGATAACGTAGGAATTGAGATAAATGTGTACCTGTGGACCAAATTTCCACAATTCATTTAGCATAGGTGGGATGAAAATTAAGGCATGTTGTGATACAAGATACGATGTAATAATAATAACAATAATAATAATAATAATAATAATAATAATAATAATAATAATAATAATAATAATAATAATAATAATAATAATAATAATAATAATAATATGGTACACGTTAATTGTATGTGACATAAAACTACCAAACATCAGGTGAGCTACTAGTGATTATGTTGGTTATGTAATGACATAATTTAACTCTGAAGCATTTTGTATCTAGATTCAGAGAAAGTCAATTTGTATTGTAACTGAAATAATTTAGAAGTCTGAATTTTGTTGGTGCTTTTAATACAGAGCACTATATGTGTCATAAGTGTACTCGCCAAATCGAGAGAAAAAAACACATAGTCAATGAAAGCGTCATCTCTATCAACTTGCTTATAATTTAATTAGATATGAAAACGAGGAAATGGTCAACCGTCACAAATTAAACGTCAAATGATTTTTGAAATGTTCTTTTCTTGCATTTCTACAGTTATGAACACATACTGCTCTTAGTATGTGGTTTTGGAAATTGTTGGATTTTACTGAGATTAAGAAGACAATGGGGGATAGTGGTCTATTATCTCAGCTTTATTGAGTTTGGACTTGTACACTAATGTATCCCAGCTCAATTGTTTAGGAGTTTAGAGTTCGAGTGAGGGGACAACGGTCTAGGGTTTGATTCACGGTCGTTTAACTTGAATCGATCAGTGATCTTAACAAAACAAACCGTTTTGTTTTGATACAGCTAACTGAAAGATTTTTCGAATATTAAACGGGTCGTATGCACACTACACAAACCAGACAACTAATTTATTTATAACACTTCGTCAATAATCCCACTTACACGGTGGATAGGAAAGAGAAAGAAATCAAGAAAAGACTTGGTGATCAATAAATATTAAATTGCAATAAACCAACCAGAAGTAGTAAACTGAAAACAAGGACAACCAATCGTACACTAGCAAAAGTCAGTAGGGAAAATTTACAACTCATTGATCACTGAGTAGTGACCACTGTTATATACGTCAAGTCCTTCTTAGTGCTATTAGAACTCTATTGATCAAGTTGCTATGTGGACACTAGTCTAAGTTACTGACGTTGCGTGCACTATGTTGAGATGTTAAGTGGAGATCTAAAGACTTAGGCTTAGTTCTATTTGACACTCATCAGCAAGATAAACCTGGAATCTTGGGGGAACCGATGCTCCCTGGTGAATTTAGTCTAATGTCAACCAGCTTTACAGTCACAGATGTAGATACTGAATTATTTGCGCCTCGACTTGACCCCCTTGTAGAACTGAGATATATTTGCAATGAACTGATTGGAAAAACGTAACCTCAAACTTCCTTACACATCAGAACTATTATTTGCCAAATGAACTGAAGGAGATAATTTAAGGTCTTTTCAAGCATACACACATGTTTTAAGAAGACTCACCTGTCTTGTTATATTACCATAAGCATAAATAGTAATATGTAAAGTGGACAAAAATTGTTGTTTATACGCAGCGACATCAGCTACTGACAAATTTTTCAGTGCACTCAATAAATCTGTAATTAGATAAGCTTCTTTACGAAGAAGATAAAATTGAAGATGACTGTGAAGTAAATAGACGAAACAGACAAAAGGAAATTATCCAAAGATTAAATATATAAATGATCAGTAAATGAATTAATTTGTAGGATACACAATGAGCACAACGGTGTTTAAGTGTTGTGTTATGCGCTCAACTCATTTAGATACTGACATACACACTGAATATAATCGAGTTTAACCTACTGTGCAAGTGAGAGGACTAATAATGAATAATAAAGTATAATTTGCAATCGAACGCAGAAATACACACTACACATTTGGATACATATAGATATATATCTGTCTCGTAGATATACAAGTTAATAGCATATCTTGTTTATCATCACTCATCTAAACCTTAGTCTTTAGATAGCATGGAAATAGGAGTGCACGCTATTGTAGTGGACGCTAATGATAAGGATGTTTATACGTAGTGTGTAGCGAAAAGTGGTGCCGAAGTTACAGCAATTGTGAAAAATGGAGAGTTTCAGTGCGCCGAAAGCACAGAGTTGACATAACACTCGGAGATCAGTCGAGAAGATAGTTCAGATTGCAGAGCACACCAGAAGATGCAAATGGATGATTGAAGACTATGTTTAGGTATTACGTGAGTACTTTATAACTTTTCGCAATAATATACACTCTTCCTGCCTGTTATCGTGTTTTACAATATGTTTGGATTAGGTCAGCTTATTAATAGGATACTTGGTATGAAAAAAAGGCAGAAGTCTGTATTCCAATCCTACGTTTAATCCATGACGGTCTGAGTATCATGGTGAGTAGAACTAACCCTTAAGCCTAGAGTCAGATACATAAACCGGTGATTTATAGGAAATCTAATCTAACCAATAATCAAGGAGGATTCAACACGGGAAGTTTGCATCTAACAACATGGCTCAGATCAACCATTAACCATCTTATGGACTGATACCAGGTTTTAAGTTAAATCGTCATAGCTTTCTTATTCCAACCTACTATTCTATCCCGGACAGAATTGTACTCCCTCAAAATATTCTTGAATGACAAAGAAAAAGAATTTGGATCAACGTAATAGTATTCACAACCTCAATCAATAACCCATTTCCAATCGCATTTCTCACAGACCATGGTGCTATGAGACAGTATATGGTCAGCCTGGACTATCACCTCCACCTTACTTTCTGGAAAGATTTCCACTTTTAATCATACGAAGTGAGAAGGGTGAATCAATTAGAAATATGATCACCAGTATAAATCACTCAATACATTACATGACGTTATAGGTAGTAATCGTACGGTAATTAACCTGACTGTCGATTGCCCTCAAACATCATTATCATCATTCACCATAACATCGAAACCGTTTGAAAAAAATAGTGTTCATTGGTTTGTTACACTATTTCACTTACGTATTGAGTACATTTGGTTTAAGTGCTTCATTATAATAAATTTGAAGTACAGCATCACGATATGATTCGAAATACTCTTTAGATAAATCTTGTGTTTGATCCAATATATGATCAAGTATAGTTGAATAAAAACACTATTTTGAAAAGTATTTTGAGAACAAAAAACAAACAAATAAATAAACAGAGAAAAGGATAATTGAACACTGAGCACATTCCAATTCAGACCAAAACAATAAGCAAATAACCTGTTTTATAATAGTTGCTTATAACTTAAATAATTTAAAGGGAAATAGAAGAAACCAAATGCAAATTTGTTGGTATGAAGAATGAATAAATCACGAGATAGTTGGAAATCAAACATTAAACTGATGATAAAGTGTTGTATGTGGTTGTTAGGTCCCGATAAGCATAATGAATGATAACTAATACTAAACGTATATTCGTATAATTGTTAAATAACTAAACTATTCATATTCCTCCTACTATAAGCTTTATTTTGAACTACGAACCATTATTATACGTCTTACCATCCTTGAATTATGCCCTGTCTATTAGTCACTACCTCCCACATTCACAGCCACATTTGACCAGATTTTGTACAAATGTTATTTTTTTATTTTATGGTCTGTTTGATTGGTATATAAACCGAGTATTTTTGAAACACATGATTCATATTGCAGGGGCTCGGATTGATGTTCTGGACTTAACTGGCTGGGCTAGACAGGAAGCGAGATCAATAAGGACTCGAAACTGCTCGTATGGGTTTACGCGTCATTGATCTGATCGATAAGTCACTGCTCTCAAATTGGCGGTATCGTTACGTTATAAATTAATAGGGCACACAGATCACAAGTTATAACAGTGGTAACCACCGACTATGATGTATAGCTTTATGAACAATTATAGTATATATCGGGTATATATGAAAGTCCCGACCGTTGTTGCTACCTTGACGTGGTGGTCGCGCTTGCCTATCGTGATGAAGCAACCGAGCTATACTGGCTGGAACAACCGTTCCTCAAGGTCCTACCATATCAGACAGGGCGGTTGAAGAGCGGTAAGACTAAAAGCAACAAACCCAAGGTCCGAAGGCGAAGTCGTACTGCTGAATGCAGAGGGGTGTGACAGCAGTAAAGTGTTTCCCTCGGACAACCAGCATGACAGCGATGCTGCCTTCCCACAAGGAGGGGTGGGGTTAGAAAAGGTCGACCCTAAAAATGCACACCTCACCTTACCTCACGGATTTCCGTCTCCGGCGGTAAGGCCCTTTGAAGAACGGAGCTAACACGTCAAAAACCTCCCACGAAAAGGCCGTGCGCGACCGGCCTCAAGCAGTTGTCCCTTGGGCACTGCGGTCACGCTCTCAGGTCACTGAGACCACCTCCAATCCAAGTTCCTTTTCAGGTACCTCCAGAAGAACCCTTCCACGGTGTGGGCAACCGGGAAGTGATAACCGCCCTCATACCTCTAACAGCACCCAAGACCATTGTATTCATAATCAACCTTCCTCTTCAATTCCTATTATTCCTCCTACATCGACTTTCAACCCTAAACTTCCTCCTTCGGCTTCCTCCTCAAGTGTCACCATAGCCAACGATTCTAGTGCTCAAAACACTGTCCCAGGTCTACTGAAACCTCGCTCCAAACTACACATTGGAGCTTTCAACGTACGCACTCTATGTCAAATCGGTCAGCAGGCTTCCTTGGCTAAAACCCTAGAGTCTCTTACCATTGATGCATGCTGTGTCTCCGAAACACGCATACAGGATTCCAGTGTGGTCATTCACTTGACCTCACCTCGGCAAAACGGAGAGCCAACGAGATACACCCTACGTGTATCTGGTGACCCGATGGCCAGTTCTCGTGGACTGGCAGGTGTAGGCATAGCACTAAGCATGAGGGCGGAACAAGCACTGCTAGAGTGGATCCCCGTCAACAGTCGTCTATGTGCTGTTCGGCTAAACGGCTCCGTAAAAACTCGGAAGGATAGGGACACACGTCGTTGCCTTTTCATCGTTTCTGCCTACGCTCCCACTGACTGCAGCTCAGATGATGTGAAAGATGAATTTTACAGAAAGCTTTCAGAACTTCTTCAGAAAGCTAAACGCTCAGACATAATACTCGTAGGGGGGTGACTTTAATGTTCAGATAGGTAGCTTAAACCAAACAGAAAGGCATTTAGGTGGATATTTTAGCATTCCGGCACAGCGAACAGATAATGGTGACCGTCTGCTGCAACTAGGCTCAGACAATCGTTTCTTTTTAGCAAACACGAATTTTAAGCACAAGGAGAGACATCGTCTAACATGACGACCTCCTACACCAAACCAACGATGGACTCAAATAGACCATATTGCCATCAGTCATCGTTGGAGAGGGTCGGTACAAGATTGTCGCTCATTCTGGAGTACCTGCTTGGACTCCGACCACGCCCTAATACGGGCACGCGTCTGCTTGCGCCTCACTGGACGCAAAAAAGCCACAGTAAAAAGACCCATTAGAACCGAACTGAGTAGCGAGGAAACCAAAAGTAGGTTCCAGGAACAACTGAGGTCACGATTAGGTAGTTCTGAAGACGAGGCTGACCCAGATGTTGCTTGGAATGAAATACAAGCAGCTGTGGAAACAGCAGTGACATCTATTAGCGACTTAAACCACAGAGTTTCAAAGAACCAGTGGATTTCTTCAAAGTCTATCACACTGATGAATTCTCGCAAACTCGTCCCATCAGGTTCCGAACATGATGAAGAGCGACAACAAATCAGATCTAGGTTAAGAAAAAGTCTAAGAAACGACCGTGAGCAGTGGTGGGCAACGAAAGCAAAAGAGATGGAAAAGGCGGCGACTATAGGGAACACAAGACAGCTTTACAGACTAATAAAAGAAACTGGAATTAATAAGTCAAGTGTAAGTGAGATTATATCGGAAAAAGACGATACTCTCATCTGCTCCCAGTCCAGGCGTCTAGAACGATGGGCGGAACATTTCAGAGAACAGTTCAGCTGGCCTTCAGCTACTCTACAACTACCCTCCATTCCCAGACAGTGTGAATGGAACATTGAAGTAGGTCCCCCAACTCTTGCTGAAGTTCAAAAGGCTATAGTTAATGTGAAACGAGGAAGGGCAGCTGGTCCAGATGGATTGGCTCCAGAGGTCTTTAAGGATGGTGGTCCAATTTTAGCGATTAGGTTGACTAATATTTTAGCTAAGATCTGGGAGTTAGACGTTATTCCATCTAACTGGTCACAATCACTTATCGTCCCAATATATAAGAAAGGGTCAAAATCATCCTGTGACAACCATAGAGGGATTAGTTTAACTAATATAATATCTAAAATACTAGCCTCGATAATTATCAGACGCCTAACGAAGACTCGTGAACTGCAAACTCGAGAGAACCAAGCTGGCTTTAGACCTGGTCGTGGCTGCATCGACCACATATTCACCATTCGTCAGGTTCTAGAACACAGGCATACCTATCGGCGTCCGACGATGGTGGTCTTTCTTGACTTAAAAGCAGCGTTTGACTCTGTAGACCGCGAGATTCTGTGGCAGTGTCTGCCATTGAAAGGCGTACCCCAGAAGTACATAAACCTTGTGAAGGCTCTTTACTCGAACACTACTAGTCGAGTCAGAGCTTATGGCGAACTGTCATCTGATTTTGCAACCTCAAGTGGTGTCCGTCAAGGCTGTTCACTTTCCCCATTTTTGTTTAACTTCATCATAGATCTACTGATGGAAATAACTGAGTTCTCGGGTATTGATCTCCTACCAGGAGGTCCACTTATCGACTTAGAATACGCAGATGACATAGTCCTGTTTGGTGAAGACGCTGACAAAATGCAGAGTCTTCTGGTAGCACTGAACAACAATGCCAGGATGTTTGGAATGCGCTTCTCTCCCTCTAAATGCAAGTTGTTGCTTCAGAACTGGTCTGCGTTAACACCTGAACTAAGGATAGGGAGTGAAGTAGTCAAACGCGTTGACAACTTCACTTATCTTGGAAGTCTGATCAGCCCTAATGGGTTGGTATCGGACGAAATCTCAGCACGGATTCGAAAAGCTCGATTAGCTTTTGCCAACTTGAGTCACCTATGGCGAAGGCGAGATATCCGTCTATCAATAAAAGGACGAGTATACTGCGCGGCAGTCCGCTCTGTTTTAATTTACGGCAGCGAAACATGGCCATTAAGAGTAGAAGACACTCGTAAGCTATTAGTATTTGACCACAGATGCCTTAGAAATATTGCTGGCGTCTGCTGGGATCACCGGGTAAGTAATAGTGAGGTTAGACGCAGGGTATTAGGGAATGATGGTAAATCTGTTGATGAGGTTATGAATCTTCATCGACTGAGATGGTTGGGCCACGTATTACGTATGCCTGAACACTGATTACCACGACGTGGAATGCTATCCGGTATTGGAGATGGTTGGAAGAAAGTTAGGGGCGGCCAAACCAGAACGTGGCATCAGTGCTTGAAGACACTAACTTCTGGTCTGAGCCATGTTGGTAGATGCAGACTACTTGGTTGGGGTCCGCGTGACTATCGTAACCAATGGTTGGAGACTCTTGGTGACATGGCTCAGAATCGATCACAATGGCGTCGGTGTATACACTCCCTGTCTTCCCTTAAACTAAGAGATTAAAGTCACTTCATATCTTTCTTTCTACGAACCAATTCTTTCTTCTTGTACTATATCTCTATATGCAATCTTTCTCTTATATATTACCACCCTTGACCTAACCACTTGTATGAATCCAGTGTGCATCTTGTTGTGCTGATGCGGTATGGCAACCTGGACCGATGCACATATGTGCCTGGTCCTACGTTGTAGCTGGCTGACTGACATATATGAAAGTAACTATAAGTCAGGTGACCTAAAGTATCGTTAGAGGTTCGAGGTTGGTTGACACATTCCAGTTGGACGGTAAAACGTCACCTTCAGAGTACGAGTGTGTTGGTTTTAGTCTTAACGCTTTTAAAACCCACCTCCCCGGTATGGTAGATTGAGTCATCAAATATATACAAGTGCAATCACAAGGTCAAGCTGGCAGCTACAGTCGGGGAAACTGAATGTTAGATCTAACGATTAGACTATGAATTCATCCAAACATTTTCTGTTATCACTCAGGAATATGCATGCATTCATTTATATTAATCCATTTTGTCGATAAGACATATTATTAAGGCTTTTTATTAAAAATACACAATGAAATCAATTTACTGATTACATATAGTACAAAGCTGATGTAATTTATGAAGTAAAAATATAGATAATGTTAGATGTTTACAAAAGAACAACATTACTCTCATTATTCCATCAAAATACAGATCTCGGTTGGGATATCATTCTAAATAAGTAGGTATCAATTCCAAGGTTGGACTTGGTAGTTTCATATAAATTGAGCATTGAATGTATCACAAAAAACACATCACATCACTGTGTACCCATGATTCATCTAGAGGTGTCAATTGGAACCTTCAAGTTTTGAGGTGAAGGATTGTTGTCCAACGATTCCTAGTTTCTAAATGTACCTCAACCGAGATCAATCTGTGATGAAAAATAAATCGATTTGTAACAAAAAAAACATTTTCAACCAAACAATGAAAATAGTAATAAAACTTACAAACAATTTTTCATTAAAACCGCTAACACAAATACGCAAGCCATTATCACGAAATGCTACATCTTGTCTACGAAACATAGAAAAGAAAATATATTGCTTCTCTCATACATATACACATACATTTAAAACAATGAGATAATATGCAGTATTTCAAAAAAGCATCTACATTTATTCATGAATAGTGTCAGCTGGAATAGTTCAATGTTAACAATAAAAACTGTGACATGAGTCCGATTTAGACTAACGGTAGAACGTGTAAGAAAGCATATATTTGATGAAGAACCCTAAATACGACTTGTCGACGACCGATGACAACTTATATGGCAGCTAGATGAAATAGGCTTTTTTGCCGATTATTGACAACCGTCCAACAGTAGTGTGTATGAAAAAAACGAAAAGCTATGGGCTATCCGCATTCAGTAGTTTAGTGGATAATGCACTGTGGTTCGAAGCAAAAGGTACTGGGTTCCAGTTTCAGAGTGAACCTTAGTGAAAATAGATTTATCTGATGAGCTCCATATGGGACAGAACATGCATTCTGCATTTCATAGAAAATCTTAAACCATCTGTTCTATCAGACAAAATGACCATATCTAGATAATCTGTATAGAATTCAAAAATGTGAAAAATATTAATCAGAAATCAATTCTGAATTTATTAACAACCGGATAATTTCAACATTTACTAATAACATTAGGCAACAAGTTTGAAACATATCCTACCTAATTCAGTTTAACCGTTCGAATATCTGGGTTACCTGTTCCTACCATCAGGATATTTCAATAAGTTATCTGTTTTCATGCTTGTTTTAACACATCATTATGCCTATTAGTCTCATAACTTATTCAGAAGCGTTCGTGAAAATTTTATGACATTTCGCTGTACAAGTTACAAAAGAACCCAATCAGAGACATCGTGGTTGCTGACAATATGCATCGGAAACAATGTACATTATTCAAATGTCGATTCCCGAAGTGCTAACATCTAACTGACGAATACTCAACATTTATCTTAAGAATCGATCAGTCAGTCAGCTACAACGTAGGACCAGGCACATATATGCATCGGTCCAAGTTGTCATACCTCATTAACACAACAAGATGGGCACCGGATTCATAAAAGTAGTTAATTCAGAGGTGGTAATATATAAAAGAAAGATTTCATGTAAGGATGTAGTACAGACAGAAAGAATCAGTTCGTAGAAAGAAAGATATGAAGCGATTTTAATCTCTTAGTTTAAGGGAGGACAGAGAGTGTATACACCGACGCCATTGTGACCGATTCTGAGCCATGTCACCAAGAGTCTCCAACCATTGGTTACGATTGTTACGCGGACCCCAACCAAGTAGTCTGCATCTCCCAACATGGCTCAGACTAGAAGTTAGTGACTTCAAGCACTGATGCCACTAAGGATCGATCAAGAAATAAGAAAAGGAAACTTGCTGAAATACTTTATGCTGAGAATTCTATATTGTACCCAAAATATAATATTGAGTAGAGCTAATACTAATAGTAATAATAGTATCGCTAAACCACTTATACACAAAAATAGTATGGCTTAAATACAGCGAATACAATAAACTTGAGTGAATTGATGTATGAAATCACCATCATTAAACTTTTCTAAACAAACAAACAAACAAAAACACAACGAATAACAACTTACACTAGATCTGCTTCACCAGCTTCATAGGTGATTGTACTCAATGATTGATTTAAACCATAGACCATCAATGTATGCAATGCCATGCTGTAAAAATTTAAGGGAAAACTGAATATATGTATAGAGATAGAAAAATGGGATATACAAACATATAAATTGTTTTAATAAAAACTAAAGAATTTTATAGTTAATATCATGGAACCAGGAATTTTATTTTCCTGATAGGAGACTACTGATGCGTCAACACCTTCCGGTTTCTAATGACTCTTTAAACTAGGACTGATGAGTGATATTACCTATTTAAAAAAATAAACAATTCACACAGATGCGCGACAGTGAAAATCAAATAAACATGTATCTCAACTCATGCTTTTCTAGAGGCCTTCTTATACATATGGGTTACCTGTTCCTGTTATCTAGATATTTCAACGAGTTATCTGTTTATTGTTTGTTTTAACACATTATTATATTTATTAATGGCAAAACTTAATCAGTTGAGCTTACAAAATGTTTATAACCTTTCGCTATACAAGTGACAAAGAAATACAATCAGACACATCGTTGTAGCTGGCAGCGTGCATGGAAAAAATGAACATTATTAAGATGTTGGTTCTTGAATTGCTTACATCTAACTGGTAATCACTAATTGACAAGGTGGAGTATATTCAATTCCTACAAAGTTTAAACACGTATAGTAATTGTGGTGTAATCACAATTTAAGAAACCTGGTTAAATGATTTACAAGACGATTTCTCAGTATCACTACTACAGAATTTCAATATTTATCTTTGGGATCGATTAACCAACATGTGAATTCATTAATATTTCAATGTTTCTCATCAGCTCTTTATAACCTCTAATTAAAATAGTATTCATCATTCAAAATAAATGTATATACTTTACATATCAAAATATTGGAAAAGTTCCCGTCTATCAAGATTAATGAAAAGAGGGCAATAAGTATGTAAACATCACCTTCATTTGTATATACCAGTTTACATGAACGTGCCAAAGCAAATATTTTGGACGGACAGAATGAAGGGTGTCAGCATCTCTCAGGAAATTCTACGAAAGTTTAGACTGAGAGAACAACACGTTTTCACGAGTGCGATTGCACCCTATCTGGTTTACAGCCTGCATCGTGTTGATATCTCAAATTCCTTCAACATAATCAATTAACAAGAAACTTCAAATTTACTATGTTTCGCTGAAGCAATTGCTGTAATCAAGATTTAGGCCAAATTTGTGCATCTAAAAAGATTCAGTTATCAATCTTCCTTTGACATGGTGAATTATAATTAGTAAGACTATAATTCATGGAACACCCTTGAGCAGAGCTAAAGTGAAAGTCAGAAAATTCACCTACTTACTTAGAATCATACGAGGGTTAAAAATCACTGTGAGGAATTAAAATGAGGAGTTCGAGTTAGAAGTTAGGGTTGGGAATTAGAGTAAGAGTTTTCATCACGAACTGACATCAGCTGTGTCAAAATGCTATTCGCCCACATGGATGAATGAATTTTGGGCCAAAATCAAAGACTCGTTATTTTAAATCTGATCGGGTCATACATAAATTATAGTCTCCCCTAAATATTCAAATTGTTTAACATCTATTATAATTCTTCCATACTTATTACTCTCTTTCCATTTATCTCCACTGATGAGAGCGCTTCCGATAATATGACATGTAAATTATGTACATTGACTTTTTGGAATGATGAATGATATTTTGTTTAGAGGTTGTAAGCAGCTGATGAGAAACCTCGAAATAGAAATGAATTCATGTATTATACGACTACGTCAATTGTCCCTGCTTTGGTTGAATCCAGAATTCACTGGAAAAGAAGACATATCAACGAAATCAACCTTTAACAAACAAAATTGTGTAGATCAGACATTCTTTTATGTAAAAAGAAAATGATGTTCTACGTGATTGAGTGAAATTTGTTCATTGCACATTGGCTGGATAGTGAGTATTTGTGGACGTGAATTAGAAGGAATTATTTCATGTCATATATGAAGTACTTAACCTATGAGACTATAGATAGACTGAAATTCCAGTAAGTTCCTAATAGAAAAAAAAGAGAATGAATAGGATTTACTGTTAATTCAACAGCACTCAATTGAAAATTCTTATTGGATTCCCAGTATTTCAAGTCGAAATGAGGTGTGGCTTTGAAACAAATCATCTGGTGTATGTGAAAAATAATAACCTACAGATTATGACAAACTATCATTTCACAAAAAACAGTAAATATACTGTACTGAAAATAATCTGATAAGTAGATAGTATTCTTCACAGACCGATGGCAACCGTGGAGCGATTTATAACCAGAGCGTAAAAGATACCTGGTTATTCTTACTATAGAAACCCTCAACGATGCATACGCACGATCGCACAATAGGTCAAACTTAGGACCTTCGATTCCCGCCGTGAGATCAATCTGCACAAAACTTTCTCAACCAATCCGAGTGCTGAAAGTAATTGAGAATAAACGTTGGATTTTGATTCTATGTCAACCAACATTCATGTAACGCAGTGCCAAGCAAACTGATAACCTTGGCGTTGAAAACGGTCAACTGGCATTTTTGAAGACCAAAACTGTAATTTGGAATACAAACTCATACACATTAAGGCTGAGGTTACCCGCAATGTTTTATTGTTCATTTAGTATTATGTTTCTTATAATTCCGACTATTTTTCAGGTGAGTATGTGCATATAGTTACAAGGGTTTGTAATGTAATCTCTAATCTAAATTACCCTCTAATAAGTGTCGATTATAACAAACAAGCTGAACGTTGATAACATTGTGAATAACCTCCGGTTATACGCTCGTTTAAACGAAAAAGCTAACCCAATCAACTCATGTATCAAAGGCACTACCGTATGATGTAAAATAAGGAGAGTGAAGGTTATCTACGAAAGAAATTATCATTATTTATATTGTATTCGGTTTAACTTGAAAAGAAAAATGAAAATATGTTTATTACATCACTCCAATTTATGCTAATCAGAATGTACAAACTAAAGAAAGAAGACAAATGCGAATCTTCATCGATTGAGATGGTTGGGCTACGCTATACATATTCCTGAACACTGATTACCACGACGCGCAAAGCTGACTAGTGTTGGAAACGGTTGGAAGAAAGTTAGGGGCGGCCAAACCAACTACTTCATACCTTTCTTTCTACGAATTAATTATTCCTCCCTGTATCATATTCGTATATCCAATCATTTTTTCATATATTACTACTGTAGTGGACAGGAATACCGGCGGGGACAATCGGATGTATTTAACACAAAATTACAGGACTTGTTAATAAAATCTAACAATCATAAAGTAAATCCTTAATTTGCAAAATGTCCACCAATTGTCTCAAAATGGCTCGGACTTCATTGTTCGACCCTATTGTCTCTCTGTTGCCAGACATTCTGTCCACGACTAACATCATATACTACCTATGTCAATATAAGTAGCACACACCATACTACCATTGAAGTAACTGCTTCTATGAATTTAGTGTTCATTTTGTGAAGTATGGAAAGTTAGACCGCTCCATACATATATGTACCTGGTCCTATGTTGTAGCTGACTGACTGATATCAATCATAAAATAGACTGTAATAAACACTATATTAAAGAAACTGGACGTTCTTTTCACTTAGGCGTGTGTGAATAAAAATAATTAGTGAAACGACACGATATATCCTATCAATGATATCAATCCATGAATTTAACTGGGAAATTATCGAAATTCTAGAGAGAGGAAATAAACGAAAAATTTCTATAAAAAAAAGATACTCACGGCGGTTATAACAATCAGTAACAACCAGAAGACAAATCGAATTAAATTCGATCTATGAAACTAACTGAAAGTAGTGAATGAACAGCATGATGAGAGATCAACTGGACTAGGTAGTCAGTATGAATACAAGAACATAAAGAAAACAATAAAATCTACCAAGACAATCACTTACAAATAATGCCACCAAATCAAACTGATCTAACGCTTGTGGAATAATTGGAAAGCTCACTTCTACATGAAGAATGCTCTGACAATGACAGTGATGTTGTTCAGAAGGAAAATGAAAGTTCAACAACCAAACCATCATCCCTCACGCTATAAATCTTCTTAACTATATACATGTATGTATATATAATAATAAACTATTTTTGTGTTACATGACTTACGTTTCTTTTGTTCTTGATACAATATCCGACCAAAGATGGATCATTACAGAAGCTGTGAAAAGAAAAAAAATGAACACGTTAGTTATCAGTATGAGGTTGTTGAAACTACCGAATTTCATTGAAACCATGAACCAATGGTCAGTGTTAAACCACGCATTTAAAAACCGGAAGCACTAAATGGCTCTTTCATCCTAGTATGGAACTCCTCAGCAGTGGGTACCCAAGACCCTGCCTGTGAGAAATGAACCCGCTTTGAGAGGTTTCCGGAATCCTACTGAGAAGTCATGACCGGTGGAGCTAAATTGTATCGGTTGTGAGATAGTTATCCACCAAAGATATCAGAAAATGATAGCACAATATCGTCGATCAACTAAAATTAGACATTAACACCATCGGCTTCCGGCTCAGTGGTCAGGAATTTAAGCGGCCACGCACGATCATGAGGGCCATGGGTTCGGTTCCCGCGTGCCGATGGCTGTCGCTAACGTGTCTCATATTAGGACGGAGAGGCCTTCCATTGCTTCTAGGTTTTTAATGGTGGTCTAACTTAGATCAGTTCATGACTCAATGAAGGGCACAATAATAAATCATTATTGGTAAAGGCAAATAGTAGGACTGCAATGCTCAGATACATCAAGCTAACAAATCCAAAGTAGGAAGAAACACTTGTCATCCTAGATTCCATTTTTAATAACAAGCGGAGGTCTAGCAACAGCAGATAGTCTAATACGTCAATAAATCATGGCTAATCATATTATTTTGTCCAATCTTTAGTGATGATTTAACTCCACGGATGAAGTGTGACGATATAATAATGATAATGAATCGCTTAGATTAAGTAGGTCAAAAGTCTCGACGAAGAATTATGTTTCAAGACCACCGGAAAATATGACCGAAGGTTAAATATAAACGTGGGCTGCGCAGTATTTGACTGTATATGACATCAGGGTACTGTTCATAGATGGTGGAAATAAAGACAGCTAATATTACCCAGGGTATATGGTATAACATGGGAGAAAAAGTGGATCAGTTGACAAGGCTTAGAATATCTATTGACTGGTATATAGTCAGATGATATGTTGTATTGATGTGAAATATAACAGTTTATACTGATAAACATTCGCGTTAGACCTTCGCCGTCTACGATTGACTAATTGACTGGTTACTTAATTATGGAACCCAATCCTCGGTCTGTTAGGATACTCGAGTTCGCTTCACACTAAGCATCACAATCACAGACATAACCACTAAGAAAAGGTATTCATATCAGAATAATAAACCACATATAAAGAGAGAGTTTCACGAATATTGCATACATCTGATAACTAACACTGAAAACTAATGACTGAACAATAAAACTATATAGATGATGTTATCAAAGCACAACAATATACATGCAAACGATGATACACCAAAACTGAAATTCAAACGAAATAATCTCAATTTTGATAAGATCATATTTCCCCTAACCGATTCACATATCAAGAATGAAATGATTTTCAATTTGACATCAATTAAGTAAAAATTTTAGATAGACTTCGAGAGATGATGAAGAATTTGCAAATGAAGAATCGAACGTATGATTTGCACATTTTACCAAAGAACTCCGTAATTTTATGTCATAATACAGTCGGTTCTCCCCCACTTGTGTTATTGTCCACAAAATTTAGTGCCGCTGCCGACCAAGAGGCAGAGAGTGGGACTTTTGAAGACGTCGTCGCGAGGGCCGGGAGAGGAAGCGCTGTTTAAGGTGTTCTGGTGATGTCGAATAAAGTGTTTTGGCAGGGTGACGTTAGCTGTAGCGGTTGTTTTCTCTCACAAACATTATCGTTTCTTAGTCCCGGTTGCTATTAAAATTACATTCCGTCTACATTTCTGTTCTCTTTACTTCGATCTTCTCAATCTTCTGCTGAAATGCATTCTACTTCAGATTGACGTTACATACTACTTATACCTGTCAACATAAGTAGCATACACCACACTATTACTGTCAGTGATCAAATAATAACGATATTGTCAGGCTGTCAAACAGTTTCTCAGTAGGAAATATTTTGAATATGTAACACCATATGATAGCTGTATTTAATAGCTCTGATACCAATAGTTTCAAGATGAATTTGTTTGGGGGTTAAACGTAATTGAATCTCCATCAGAAAGTCAACAAAGATTATAATGAAAAGTATTTTTAGCTTAAATCAGTAACGATATTTTAAAGAAAAGGTTGCGTTTTTTTACTCAATAAAATGTTTTTAGTTGTCTTATTTTGTAAAACATCATCAGTATATAATGTGTGAAACGAAAGGCAATAGAAGCTTCATCATTAAAACTATCTCTCGAAAGTGTTTGAGAATTCTTCACATTTTTCAGAAACGTAATAAAGACTGAAAACCATTCGTCTAATCACTGTTCAATGGAAACTTCCTATAAAGTGATTATATATCACATCATGACTAGATAATTACTAATTTCTTTAAAGAATTTTCGCATCGTTTTAGAAGTGTTCAAAATATCCAGATCAAAGCCTATAAACCAATGAATATCCATTCTTTTTATACTTAAACTAACCTTGGAAGTAAAGCTTATTTTCATAATTTCGACTTTTACTTACCTTTAGAGATTTAAGTGTAGATTTCTAAGGCACTAGAAAGTGGTTAAAATTCAATGTCAAGTAATCAGGTATCCAACATAATTATATCGGAATTTAAGAACATAAACCCATTACGTAAAAAAAGCGAAATTTTAGTAATATCCATTTTAAAGAGTTTGAATTAACAAAATGATGAAAAATACTATTTTCTGTGTACACTATTCTTATCAAACTAATACAAAAATTACCTTTAGGACATTTGAAACGAGTACTTTGTTGAAACCATAAATGACCATATTTTAGACGTGATTCTGCACCAGGTTCCAAGTTTAAATCCACAGGTTGCTGAATATATATATAAACAGTTAACATACAGAAAGAAGAAAGATGCCAATATTATGCAGTACTATCTAAAGGGACAATTGAGAACCACTTCATATTTTAATTATAACACCATAATCACGTTAACCTTTCTTAATCTAATATATACACATGTGTGATTTTGATATTTTTCCGAATAGAATGGTTTTTCAGTGGATAAGGCATTCGATTTTTAGTCACTAAATCCAGGGTTCGAACCCCGCTCCAGTTCGGGCAACCGTATATTAACACTAGCCGTTACACTTGAAATGTAGTTTGCAGCCAAGTATATGAATCTATACCTGGTAACTGAGCAACTAAAGAATTTTCCCGATGAAAGGGTGTCCACCTTTATACGGTGTAATTTTTGTTGCAGACGGTGCAGTGTATTCTATGGATGATATTGCGTTTGTCTTCCTTTGTTGTTAGGTCATTGGACAAAGTGGATCTCCGGTCCATCCACTAATACACAAAAATGTCTAACAAAAGAAAACCATATGAATTGATACCACTTACATAAATGCATACTACAGATTCGAATTTTATTATGAAAATGGGAAAACTCCAAACTTAGGAAATTCAAAGAATGTCAGCGAATTTCGAGAAGCACTTTATTCAGACCAGTATACAATCAATATGTATAATGAAATAGACTCTATTTACCAATCAATCACGTAGTCAAACGTCAACAAAACAATTTTCTCAACAAAGATACGAAAACAAATAAAGCCGGAAAACCTCCACAAACAGCCATTCATTCACAAAGTCATCAGAACAGATCAGTTTAATGATTGCGAATTGACTAAACAGTTGACCTTTACATAAAGTAGGCGTTGATGACGAGATTATAGTCCAGAACCACAATGAAAGCTTCATAATTTAACTTACTCAACTCACAGTACATAAAACAAAAAAACAAAAACTTGACATTACGTATATTCTGATAGTTTTCGCAACAAAAGAAAAACAGGCGGAAATAAAATAACCTCGATTTTATTCATTCCATATTTAAACAAACTATACATATTTCTTAGGTTTGATTATTTGTTATATATATGGATAGATGACAAGTATAATGTTCATCGATAGATGATGAGCGATGGTATACAGTGTGACATATGACTGCTAACCGACCACGAGATCGAGTTCTATGATGTATGTCTTCTCTTTCGTCCCAACACTCCCCAGACTATTTGATGCTAAAAGATAATACAACTGGTTGGAAGAATGTTTACGATCCATGTGTCAAATGTGACATACGTAAGTGCGAAAGACTAAACACGTAAATAAGAAATGATATGACGTTAGGTGTTTGGAAGTAGTCGGTAGGATACCTTGAACAATGGTTATGTTCTAGTTAGTACTCATAGGGGAAGGTGTGCCTATAATCTTTAGGGAATTGATGCTATCTTTGTCTATCTCTCTGAGATGAATTCGAACTCAAATTATTCACCCAGTGGTGTCAAAGACTAGAACATGACCCCTGAACTAGTTGAGCAGCATTTTTGAACGATAGAATTCGACCAGCACTAATGACTCACAGAAAGTAAAAACATTCATCAAAAACTCAACGAATTCGGCAGATAAGGGGTGTTTCGCAGGTCATTGTTAACAAGCCATAAAATGAAATTAGAAGACGTCACTAACAGGTCTAATTAATAATTTAATTTTTAATGGTTTGAATTATCCCGTTGTTGACATTTTAACTGAAATCTGAGCCCTAGTTGACATATATATATCCTGTGAAGATTGCTTCGATATAAGCACTATGACAAAATTTCACATAGAAGTGATGGAATATGATTAGCAGTGGGATCAAGGACGAGTGTTTCATCATATTTAGAACTCATCAGCTCCACGTACCTGCATTCCAAAGTTGATGTTCACTCAGAGACTCGAACCCGTTGTACAAGCGAGCGGCCATTAGAGCTGAGTAGCTAAGTGGATAATGTGTTGGCGTTTGAAGTGCAATTACATATTATCATATACTGAAATCACAATTCAATATATGGAAGATAGAAAAAAAAGGAATTTTTCAAACAAAGACAACAAAAAACAAACACTAACCTTCATATCAGTTTTTGAATCCAATAAACTAAAATCCGTCGCTACAGTGGAAGAAAATTAAATATAAACTCAAGGTATACTAAGGCAAACAATGAAATTTGTATCTTTTAAAGAAAACTTTTAACAACGACTACACAGAATACAACAAAGAGATAAATATTAAAATATTAGATCATGTTATAAGTGACCCATAATTAAAATGTGATATCATCAGTTTATAAAATCATTCATTGACTGGTAATTTATATCATGTTTGTAGATTAAAACAACCACATAGTTTGGTGTTGTAATCTGGCGTGATTATCGTAACCAATGATTGGAAACAATATTGAATGATATGGCTTAGAATCGGTTGTATAGATGGCAAATATATTCTGACTGATTGTCATCTTTTGAATGTTAAGCTTTGAAAATTATTTTGTACGTTTTATTCTTTCTTCTTGAATCATACTTTTTATGCTTAATGATTTCTAATACAATTGATACTATGTTACTACTTCTACTAGCCTGACATTTGTCTTGATAATTTTATATAGCTGTGTTGATTCAGTGTGACGACTTGAATCGACGTACACGGGGGGAGGGATGTGTGGAGATTGTAGTATTTTAACAGTTGAATTAACCAGTCAATCTAAGCTATACCACCATTGGAAATCTGGAAGCACTGGACGCCCGTGTCGTCCTAGTATGGAACTCCTCAGAAGTGCGCATCCACGATCTTGTACGCGAATGCTTGACCTCTAGACCACTAAACCGGTATCCGACGGTGTCAAGTTCTGCATTAACTGAATTAGTTAACGACTAATCAATAACAGACACTCACAGTCACATACAACTTTATGTAATCGAATCAAGAACATTGAAGCTATAAAGTGAACACTTCTAAAAAAATTCCCCAGAAAACAAAGACGACACACGCCTGTCCGATACTTAACAACTCGAAACAATATTTCGTTACGTGGTGTCCGGTTTATAATAAAAAAGCAACCGACAGAAATGTCACCTTCCTCGTTTGTAGCGAAAGTGATTGCATCCAAGTATCAACGGGCCTATCAACGACAGTGAATTATCACAGGTACATTCTCAGCTGATGAATACCAAATAGGATGAAATACACTTAGTGGATTCTGTTGCTAAACCCATATACTAAAAATATGTACAAGCACTATACTATTTTTTAGCAACCAAAAACGTACTCAAAAATTTATTTTCATATGGAAGATGTAATTTTTCGTCGTCTGGTTTTGAATGGATCCATCCGTTCATAATATGTTCGGGTATATCTATTTTTAAAAGAACAAATAGTATTCAATAGTATTAATGTAAAGAAATAATCAAAGTGAACATTATATGTTTAATTATAGTGACGAAACTTCAACAATGCAATAGAAATTCTAATATGTCTTGCTACCGATACGCCTAAACTATCTTCCTAGACGGTTCTTATAGCCCATAGAATACTTCGACACGACACGTCAACTGGAACAAACAAGAGAAGGCACAAATCGCGAATAAAAAGCTTTATTTCAAGGTTGGATTTTGTACAGAAAAAATGAGGCCATTTAGAGTTATACATGATCTTTGGCTTCTGAAACTATACTGCACATAGTAGTAGTACGGGTGAATATCCAACTAAAACAGTGATAGGTTATTCTGGAAGTTTTAGATGTTCCTCCGAAGCTTCTATTCGACACTGATACAGATATAAGGTTTAACAGAGTTCTAGATACTTTGATGACAGATTTCTGGGACCTCCTCAACGACTCCCAATTGAATAAACACTCGAAGGGAAATATGTTTACAAAATATACATCTAAACAGGGATTAGCTGTCATTTATCTTAATCTGTAAATGTTTACAACATATTCTAACTTTACGATAATGGTTTTTATAAGCTAATGTATTACAACCTAGAGGTGCTTAGGATCAGTGAAACATATTGGACGCAAGTTGGACAACAACAACTAACTTCAGGGGAGCTTCTGTTATACTCCAGCCATAAAGAAGAAAATGCCCCACATACACAAGGAGTCGCATTGACGCTGTCAAAACAAGTACAAAATGCACTTATGGGATAGGAATCTTATGGACCAAGGATCATCAAAGCCTCCTTCAAAACAAAGAAAGAGGGCATTTCAATGAGCGTCATCCAATGCTATGCCTCTACCAACGACTACAATGTAGACGCTAAAGATCAATTCTACAATAGGCTGCAGTCAATCATCGAGAAGTACCCAACAAATGACCTGACCAATCTGATAGAAGATTTAAATGCCAAGGTTGGAATGGATAACACCGGATATGAAGACATCATGGGACGACATGAACTAGGAGAAAGGAACGAAAACGGGGCCGACAATATCACAAAAGTTCAATACGGCCTTTCTTCGGGATACTGACAAACTCAACAAATTCAAGATAGCCTTCAGCGATAAAATCCAGACCTTTCATGATCTACTCAATGGAGAAGGAACTACTATGGAGAGCAACTGGAAGGGGATCAAAGAAGCAATCACTTCAACATGTCATGAAGTCCTGGGTCACAAGAAGCAACATCACAAGGAATGGATCACTGTTAATACACTGGATAAGATTCAAGAAAGGAGGAACAAGAAAACAGCAATCAATACCAGTCGAACAAGAGCAGAAAAAGCCAAGACACAAGCTGAATACACAGAAGTAAACAAACAAGTGAAGAGGAGCATCAGAACTGACAAACGTAAATATGTGGAAGATTTAGCAATGACGGCGGAAAATGCTGCAAGAGAAGGAAATATGAGACAATTATATGGTACAACAAAGAAACTCGCTGGAAATTATCGTGAACCAAAACGACCAGTGAAAAGTAATGAAGGCAAGGTAATCACCAACATTGAAGTACAACAACACAGGTGGAAAGTACACTTCAAAGAACTCTTGAATCGACCAGCTCCACTGAACCCACTCAACATCGAAGCAGCACCCACAGACCTCCCAATCAATGTTGGCCCACCAACAATTGAAGAAATCAGCATGGCCATCAGACAAATCAAGAGTGACAAAGCAGCAGGACCAGACAACATTCCAGCAGAGACATTGAAAGCAGACGTAATAGTAACTGCAAGGATACTCCACATTCTCTTCAATAAGATTTGGGATGATGAACAATTACCAAAAGACTGGAAAGAAGGACTCCTGATCAAAATATCGAAGAAAGGCGATTTCAGCAAGTGTGATAACTACAGGGGCATCACTCTCCTCTCAATACCGGGAATAGTCTTCAACAGAGTATTGTTAAACAGGATGAAGGACTGTGTAGACGCCCAACTTCGAGACCAACAGTCAGGATTCCGTAAGGATAGATCGTGTACAGACTAAATCGACTGGATCACGAAAACGTCAACGTCTGAAGGGAAGCACGGGATACAATGGACACCTAGAATGCAGTTGGACGATCTAGACTTCGCACATGATCTGGCCCTTCTATCCCAAACGCAACAACAAATGCAGGAGAAGACGAACAGTGTGGTAGCAGCCTCAGCAGCAGTAAGTCTCAATATACACAAAGGGAAAAGCAGGGTTCTCCGATACAACACAACATGCACCAATCCAATCACAATTGACGAAGATTTGGAAGATGTAAAAACCTTTACATATTTTGGCAGCATCATTGATGAACACGGTGGGTCTGATGTAGATGTGAAGGCGCGGATCGACAAAGCAAGAGCAGCATATTTACAACCGAAGAACATCTGGAACTCAAAACAACTGTCAACCAACACCAAGGTCAGGATTTTCAATACAAATATCAAGACAGTTCTACCGTATGTAGTAGAAACATGGAGAACTACGAAAGCCATCATCCAGAAGATACAAGTGTTTATTAACTGCTGTCTACGCAAAATACTTCGGATCCGTTGGACAGACACTATCAGCAACAACCTACTGTGGGAGAGAACAAATCAGATCCCAGTGGAGGAAGAAATCACAAAGAAGCGCTGGAAGTGGACAGGACACAAATTGAGGAAAGTACCCAACTGTGTCACAAGACAAGCCCTCACATGGAATCCTCAGGGCAAAGGAAAAGAGAAAGACCAAAGAACACATTACGCCGAGAAATGGAGATAGACATGAGAAAAATGAACGAGAATTGGATGAAACTAGAAAAGAAGGCCCAGGACAGAGTGGGTTGGAGAATGCTGGTCGGCGGCCTATGCTCCATTAGGAGATCTCAACCAAGCAAGAAGTTTACACCCAACAACATGGGTCAGAAAAACCGGTCAATTAATTTGCGGACTGATACCACGTTTTGTTCTGAACTCAGTTATTTTGTGGTCTATTCCCAAGTCGAACAACATCATACATGAAAGTACACAATCGAGTATGGCAGTTACTGACCGAAGACAACGAAAGATGGTCACGTAATATCGTGGATTGATTGAAGTTAGATATTAACACGGTTAGACGCCGGTCAGCTCAATAGTCCATAGATTAGGCGTCCGCGTGCGAGAACGAAGATCCTAGGTCCTGTTCCTGCGTGCAAAGGCGTAGATACGTACTGCAGAAGAGTTCCATGCTAGGACAAAGCGGTCGTCCGTTGCTTCTAGGTTTTCTATAATGGTCTAACATTGATCAGTTCGCGATTTCAATGAAAATCAACAATCACTACAACCATATACTTACAAATAAGTGGTGGTTGGACATAAGTAATACATATTCCAGTTACCTCAAAGAATGAAGTATCCACAATCTTACACAAAACGATCAACCACCAATTACTAGTACTCTATATCTACATCTCAACATTTCTGACTTGGCGGTTCCAACATACAAGAGCAATATACTTTAAAAACATCTATAATTGCATATTAGTAACCTACAACTGTCCCGTACTTCTAAACACCAAGTTTTATGTTACCATTAACCTAACACGATAAAAATGGACAGCAAAAGGAATTATCGTCATCATCACCATCATCAGTATCAACAAAGAACAACGATCATGTAAAGATATACTAATTAACATACCTTCTTTTTGATAAGCTACATTAAACCATGGTTCATGTTCTAATCTTGACTCATCATCTTTCACTGAAGATGCAAACGTTGATGACAGAAAGAATATAGCTGCACGATTTGGTGTCATCAATTTCAATAGGTCAATGTACAACTGAAATTATACAATTAATAAAGATAATAACCATTTAGAGTGGACACATAATGATAATAAAACGATGTTACAGGCAGTCAGTAAGTCTTAACATAGAACCTGGTATGTATGTACATCGGCCTTAGGTAGCCCATGACTAGTAGTATGGGCTAGCGTGGTTAAATCGAAAATCATAGTACGAAGTACAATGTATAAATCTGTACTTGGTGAATAAGATACTTTTACATAGAACAAAGATTCTGTTACATGATTCAACAACCTGAAGTAACAACATACAAAAGACAAACAACAGATTTCAAATTTATTCTTAAAAATTCCTAATTCGATCTCCGCTCCAACAATTATGGAAATACAAAAGAAATGCAAAAAGTTAATAACAGCTCCAACAAATGATGATAATGTAGAATATACACCATATACGCGAAACTCGTGAGAGGTTAGACGTGTGTAGATACTCCTTGTTTGTCAACACATTACAAAAGTATATTTTCTCGTGAGGAATATGAAAAAGATACTCGGTATCGATGATGTTTCCAATCTATAAGAGTAACCACGGAGTCAAAGGAATACTAATTTGATGACAATTATGCACGACCTTCAAGCGAAAGATTTTTCGTCCTACATAATCCATATTTCTCACAATTAATTTTCCTCAACAGAGATTCACGGAAAAGGATAAAATGTGCTCTTTAGAAAACCAACTAATGATAACCCCAAGTCCCAGCTGAAATAACAGAAAATATCATTTGAGATGTAGGTAAGCTGTGGAAGATATATCACGCAATCCAATACAATCAACAGTATGATTTCTCTCAAAAAAACTTATTTTCACTACTACTGCATTTTAACCAACTAGTCGAGCATAGTAGGAGATCTCAAAGATCCATTGTTTCTATCAGTATGATTCTAGTGAAACGTATCACAATAGATAAGCTCGACCACCATTGAACATATTAAGTTAATCAACAATAGTCAAGTCTAATGCATAGCAATACTAATCATAGTAATATGACTTACTTCTATATTTGGCTTTTTTAATAGCCTATAACCAGAATAAACATGTTCACATTTAACAAGATGTAACATATTGGCTAGATTAACCACTGTATCTTCAGCTTCTTCCGGTTCTGTATATAGAAAATTAGCTGTTTTAACCATTTGATATTCTGGTAGATATGTAGCGAAAGTATGTTTATGACAGTGATTTGTATGGACGCGTTCACCATTATTATTACCTTCTAAACCACCATTCATTAAAGATATCGATGTTGAATTTAACGCTGAGTACAGTAGAATTTTTATATAATCAAATAATATTCCACAAACCTACATATAAACAAATTGGTAAAGACAACAATAACGCAAATAACAGACGGAATAAAAATTATAAGTTATATTTCATTACAGATTGATCATAGCTGAGGTAATGTTTAAAAACATTCGGTAACACTGAACAGCTGTTTTGTCGTAGCATCTTTTATTCTAGAAATGGAATAAGTAAAAATGTTGGTTAGTACATCCTACATGTTTAGAGTAGACGCAATTATCGTGACGAGTATAGTTGGAGATGCTGAGTGACATGACTTAGAATCAGTAGTCGTAATCCAGGTGCATTCAATTTCGATCTTCTTCTAGATCTTCCATTTCCATTTTTGTTTACATATACTTTTCCGTTCTCTCTTCTCAAAATATAATCTCAATATTCAACATTTCTCATTAAAATTGTTACTATATCATTTCTTTATTGTGGTATGATAACTTGGGCTGGCTTACAATTATCCGAGAATTTTACGTTTATTACGATCAACTGATCGACTTTTTTTCGTAATCAGGAAATTAATTTGTAATCACCTTTTCTACAGCCCCCAAATGCCCTGGTACGGCCGAGAGTGGGGGAAGTCCGCTCACCCTCTCAAAATGCTCTCACACGGCCACGCGTATATAGCCTCTGCCAGGGAAGTCCTACTCACTGCATTCTCGTGGCATTACTGTTGTTTACGAAATTGAGAGGGCGAAAAGCGAACGTCCGGCGCTTTAACCGGGTTGGTGGACATGGAGAGTCCACCTAGGGGAGTTGGAAAACCCTCATTCCAGACCAATGGTGCACATCGGCTCCAGTATACTGAGGGAACAAATGGTGTATGAACCAATCGTTGGTCACCGGCTACCATGTGACCCCATCTCCTTATGTTGCTTCACTGCCTTGTGGGTTAGACCTTTAGGTCAAAGGCTCGGGGTGTGGCCCCCCAAGAAAACCACCTGCTTCGGTTTGGGCACCCGGGCAGTATCACAGCAGTATCACACAGATCTGTGTGGAGCATATGTATTTGGTGCCTTCTTGTATCAATATCTATGTGTTAAAATAAATAAATAAACCTTTTGTACAGCAATGATGATAATAATAATAAACAGCATATTCCGATTAACAATACATTAAGTATGAAAAATCTACCCAAAATAATAACATTGAATTGGAAAAGAATACACAAGAATTCTGAAATAATGACTTACTTGAAAAATATGATCACGACCATAATCAGTAAGTTGAATATTAACCATAAAAATTGTACATAAACTAGAATTATCAAAATCTGATGTACAAGTAACGCCCGCGCTAAGTGAAACGGCAAGATTTCTATTTAAAAAAAACGACAGGTCACAAAGAAGGAATAATAAACACATCGAACTTCATATAGAATATATGGAATATGATTAATATTCGAAATCAGAACGCGTGTTTCGTCCTACTCCGGATACATCGGCTGGATGTACCCAGAGTTGATATTCACTTCGGGATTCAGATTTAGCCACAACAGATTCATCCAACTCAGAAGCTCCAAATAGAATGAAGAGTGGGTTCAAGACTACACACCTAGTCACATTGCATCTATTCTATACTTACTTGTGTTATAATGGCTATATCGAGATATTCCGGACAAGATACACATACACTAACTAGAATTGATCAAATGCCAATCATATTATCAACAACGGGATAATTTAAACCATTAAAAATGAAATTAACATTAAAATTTATGGTGAAAACAGTGATATTACATTCTAGTAAAAATAAATACAGAATATTACAACAGGAGTTTTGTGAAGATTATTAAATTTACATATGTTACAGCACGAACTGATTTTGGTTAGACGACTATTGAAAACAAATTAACACGGGACAGATGTTCCGTCTACGCACGATTCTGTCACAGATCGAATCTAGGATCTTAGAACCTGACATTCAAGTCTTAATACCTAGATCACCTAGTTGGCATATAATGACTGATATCTCAATTCAATCAAATGGTAGTACTGTTCAACCATCTTCCAATACTACTGGTGAGTAATAGTCTCATATCCGACATGGATGAACTTCATTGGTCACAGTTTTACACTAGAACTCCGAGAATTACTTCTCGAAATTAGTCGCTAACTAGCATATGATTATCATAACTACAGAGCTTTCGGAAATCTTTGTGATCCAAACCCATATCAACGTCATTAAAAACTGACTGAAAGTATACAATGGATGCAACACCGCTCAAACTTCTAGCTTCCTTGAAAGAATCTTCACTGATGATAAATCACAGCTTTACAAGTGCAACATCGAGTCAGGCTTTTGAGAACTTTCAGCAATAGAAACGGTGATGGAACAAGTACATTGTCATTTTTGAAGATAATGATCTATGTACACTCGATTTATACAACACTTTTACGATCTCAGTTTATTTACTGACTGGACATACTGCGTAAGTCTGTATATCCTAGATGAGATAGATTAGCTATTAGTATTTACCAAACGCTCATATAGTGTAAGTAAAATTATGACTCAGTGGTTAAGACTTTTGAATTCCAGTCAATAAGACGTGGGTTCAAACCCCGCCTCACTTCAGTCCGAGTAACCAAACTGTATCACTAGCTGTCGAATTCAGTATGTGAACGGGAATTCAAGTAAACGAATCTGTATCTGGTAGTGGGCTAATAATAACAATATTAAGCAAGATTTAAGAGCTATCAGATACCGAGTCTTTTTAATGCCTGTCTCCCTCTCTTTCTTTCTAAACTAACCATAAATACTTATGATGATGAATCTATCTAACGTCGATGTTCAATTCAATCAAACAGCAAAACCTGAAATTTGTATGAAAATACGTAAATAAAACTTCAAAATGACCGGATTTTTATATTCACCTCCATAAATAAAGTCAATATTTTTATGACAGTTTGTTGGCTTTCACAGATTACTCCTAACCTCAATTATTGAATCATGCATTACAACAACTGATAGGATTTGAGTAATTAATATCTCAATCGATTTAGTGAAGTTAGCCGGGTTAATTGAACGGTGAGCTTTGAAGCAATCAATTAGAATGAACAAATTCTTTTCTTTGTATTTAAAAAAAGGGTAGGTTGAGAAATGGTCACAGAAAAACTGAAAACATTTTACATGCATAAGTTCATATGCGTTGAACAAGTTAATGGTGGTTTGAACTTCATAATTCAGTGGATAACACTGAAGTTTGGAGAAAAAAAGAGACCGAACTCGAATTTCAATGTGAACTTCAACATCCAGCTAGGAAGATCGAAATAACAATAAACGACGGTTTTGATTTCTACTACAAGTTATAGTTCAAATATAATAAATCTTGTAACTACAAAACTATAGATCAATGTAATCCTGAAAAGGATCCATGTGTGTGTGTAACAGAGACTGATCGAAATTATAGTTCTTCATATCAACAATGGGACAACTCAAACACTTCCATGCAGACTCGAATCCTCTTTAATTTACACAACGAAGTAGCAGCTTCCTCCAATAATCATAAAAGCTGAATTCGGTAATATGAACCACGGTATAACAACTCAGTGTATTGTTTTAAAATACTACTTAGTGGTTTCGAGACCTATTAAATTTATGTGTTTGTGTGTATATGCACTGTTCAAAGTGAACCACAATACCCCAGTTAAACAGTTGTTTCCACTATACTCCTATTTTCAGCGATATAAACATTGTTTACAAACACTTCACAATATATACAACACACCATTAATTATTGAAAACCATCCCTAGTACTTTATTCTTTTATATTCCATTAATAGATTTCTAATGAAATGATTCGATTATTTAATGAAAACATACATCTTCAATAGTGTTCTTTTTGTTAGTGTATTTTGGTATTTATCATTTTTGATAAGATCTACTGAAAAGAATGCATGATACAATCAATACATACATGACATGTTATTATTATCCATGTAAACAAAACAGAAAATCGTTATATATACACACTCGCACACACACACACACATACACGCAACCCTCCTACACTAAGATCATTCAATGATACTTCTTGGAACTAATCAAATTGTTGAGTATTATTAAGGTATTTGTAATGTCACCACCTTTTTGACATGGTTCATGTATGAGTTTTAGAATATTCATAACAATTTATAAGACTAATGTTATGTAATAAAACTACAAATATGTAAGAGTCTAAGTGATAATTAAGTCGATAATGATAAGTTTAACATATATTTATATAGGTAGATAGATATCATGCTGATTAATGATTATAGAAATGATGACTGAGATTGACAGAAACACAACAATTTTATGTATCCCGTGTTTTGTATCAAATGAAAATTGCTGATATGAAATTTTATTAGTGAAAACAAATATGATTCTCTGTATGGTAGAATAGTTAGACAAGTGTAACCAAATTACTGTTGTGATCAATATACTCATAAAGTGAACCAGTGACTTAATAGCTAAGGTATTCAACTTTTAGTCGATAAGCCGAAGGTGTGAACCCTCGCTTTATCTAGTTTTGTCAGGGAAACCAAATAGTGTATTACTAGCCTTCACATTCAGAGTGTAACTCGAAGCCAAGAACATGAATCTGTGGACCTGATGGGTTGAAAAATAAAGAGTAAACATTTAGCAAGTACACAGTTGTGCAAACGGCTTTGAGCAAAACTGCATTCCCACACTCCTATGTTACGGTTATAATGGTATTATGTTGTTATCAAATTGAATTGTAAGCGGAATAATGTTCACACATATAACCTACAGATACATGGTTGGGAAACTCACAAAGAAACACGATTTTGAATTATTTAGTATGTATATATAAATAGGTTATACTATCGGAGAAAAATGTAAAAACAATTACTGGATAATTTGATGACTAATTTTGGGGTTAAGGATAAATCAATTGTAATCATTGTAGAGCCTGAATGAAATGTATATTAATCTAAGTGTTCATACCATAATACAATGATAAATCATAAACAGATTGAAATAACTATTATAGCAATGATAACAAGATTAGAGACAATATAGAAAATGAGCAAAGATGGTTGGTGTCTGGCGGTGGAATCCAGGACGCACGTTCCGTCCCATTTGGGACTCGTCACCTAGATGCACCTGCATCCCGAAATTGGTGCTAACTCTGGGAATCGAATCCAGATAGGACGGAACGACCGTCCTGGGTTCCACTGCTAACCGCCATCCACTTATGCTTATAATACTTGTGACTTAGAGCAATATCAGGGCAATCCGCACAGGATGCACATATGCCAATAAGAGACTGATCAATTTCAGTCCTAAACATCAATCAGACGGTTCAAACAAACAATACAAAAACGAATATAGAGAATATTAATTCGAGAAGAGGGAAGGATTAAAAAAACCGGAGCTCAAGATTTACAGTAAGAAGAAGAATGGATACATTTGTGTACTATTACCATTGATTTTAAGCCAAGTAATCCAAATTCAACGACTGATAGTGTGATTATCAAACAGTTCGCAGCCAAGTAGTCTGCATCTATGAAACATTTTACAGATCATCAGTTCATAATACATGGAGTGATAATTACACACAATGCTTACTCTTTTTTAAGTAAGGCCAATACACTTCCTCTACCTTCATGACCAATAAGAGAAGATAATACTTCCATTGGAGATGATCTGAAGTGAAGCGGGAAAAATACATGATGTAATACAAAATAATAGCACTTCAATGTTTATGCGATGTATTTTATTTTGAATATATAGTTAAGCTATAAATGTTATCAATGAAAAAAACAGCAAATCTGTTAAATTGTTGAGTTGAAATACCTAGACTAAGAATAAACACATGTTTGAAGAACAAGTTAGAAAATTTCCCAACTGTTAACTGATAACGAATCACATGTGTGACGTTGTGAGTGAATAACTCATTTAATTATATCTCCTAGGTATGACTAGCACTGACAAGAGTTTGATTTCCTTCTCTAAATGCTTACACCTAAAACCCCGTGTTTTGTATGAAGGTTTGATTCACTGCTCACATGAAACTGAAGTGCTTTTTTGAAAAAAAAAAAGTAAGGAGGTCAAATTTCCGTGGTAAATATAGAAGTCCTATATCCAGGACAGTTGATAAATATTAGTTCCAAGCCAATGACGCACAGAGGTTCCAGGGTCTTAAGAGAATTTCTGAGCCGCGAACATCCTTTAATTACTGGTACTGTGGGATCTCAACTCCTAACATTGAGCCACTTAGTGAATTCGACTTCTAAGTTGGAAATTAGGTGAATGGTCCGTAAAGAAAAATACATCCCTTAGTTTAGGCTTCCGGACAATATCTCAACTACCTCAATTCATGTAATGACGATCATCAATCGAGAAAACAAGTATACCATTACATTTACGTTAATCACTTAACGGCGATACATATATTTAATATGCCATCGAAATATACCCATATATGTTTGAAAATACATGCATGCTTGTTAACTATCTTTATCTATTCTCTTTTACGGTGGTGGTTGAGGGTAGTCGACAGGAAACGCTACTCCACCTACTTTTCGAACTACTCAACACTCGCCAGCAATAATTAATTGTGATCTCAAGGGGACTGATATTCCATGATAGATTCGATTCCGTGTCACCCAACTTTAGAGTCAAAGATTTTACAACTGAGTTATTCGGGACACGATTGACCTCCTGTATGACTGAGATTTATTTATAACTGGTTGATCATTGAGTACTGATCGAATTATATCGAGCATTAATGGCGCCAAGATTACAGGTGCACCTTGCTGACAAGTGCCGAATAACATGAAACCTAAGTCCAAAGTTTCCTATCCACTACTTTCAACTGCCAACTTACATTTCAACATAGTGCATGCGATGTCGAGTCGCTTAGACTAGTGGCCGCACTGCAACATGATCGATAAAATTCAATCAGCATTAAGGAAGACTTGACAAATATGACATTGTCAGAAGGGGTTTGTGGAGATTTTTAGAAATTTTCACAGATTGAAATCATGAGTCAGTTGAAGCTAGACCACCATTGAAAACCTGGAAGCACTGGACGGCCGTTTCGTCCTAGTATGGGACTCCTCAGCAGTGCGTATCCACGATCCCGCACCACGCGGGGCTCGAACCCAGGACCTACTGGCTTCGCGCGCGAGCACTTAACCATTAGACCACTGAGCCGGCATCCAACGGTGTTAATGTCTAACTTCAACCAATCCACGAAGTTGCGCCACCATATACCATTATCTTCAGTGAGCTGATATCTCATTAACACCGTTGGATGCCGGCTCAGTGGTCTAATGGTTAAGTGCTCGCGCGCGAAGCCAGTAGGTCCTGGGTTCGAGCCCCACGTGGTGCGGGATCGTGGATACGCACTGCTGAGGAGTCCCATACTAGGACGAAACGGCCGTCCAGTGCTTCCAGGTTTTCAATGGTGGTCTAGCTTCAACTGACTCATGATTTCAATCTGTGAAAATATGACATTGGTCACAACTTAGTGATCAATCAATTTTACATCTATTCTCTTATTGGTTGTGAATGCACTCAGTCAATTATTCATAACTCTTTTATGTATTCATATTGGTATTCATAAAACAACGTATACAACCTCTCTTCTCTTCATTCAGTTGACTGATAAATGTATGATTTGTTGAGTTAAGTGACTTGCAACATATTGATTCAAACTTAAACTATATTTATCTTTGGGATTTATTGAGTGGGAGTAAATCCAATAACACAATGAGAATTAGCCTAACACTACATCTATACGGAATTTCCTTCAATCGGTGATACAAGAATTCAGAAGAACGGTAAACAACATACAAATATGTTACTAATCGTTCAAATGACAACTAAATCAAATTGATACAATAAATGAGTATATAGATTCATATATTTCATTTCGAGTAATAACAATAATAATAATAATAATAATAGGACCAGTAACTGAATGAAACCAAGTGTACAGATTGAAGTAGTTGGGAGGGAGTCAAACTGACGACCAAGTGATTGACAGTAAGACACCTCCACAACCAACAATAACACCGAACCGCAGCTTCACGTGTTTCAATCAACCACACTATTAGAAATAATCACAATTACTCAATTCTTTCAACCTACACAACGACGATAACAAAAGTAACAGCTAACTAACTGGTAAAATTCATCATTATAATCAACACAACTTACTCATAATGATTGATTTGTGGAGGAAGAATCCAAACAATACGTATTTTCTCTTTTACACTCAAAGGACAAACTGTTAACATCATTAGAAAACAAAACAAAAAAGTATAGAAAGAAAATTACATATAATGTGGATGAAAAATATGCAAATAGAAAGCTAGCGTAACAGGTTTCTCAATCCAACCAATAATCATAGTAACGATTTTCTTTTTAAATACTAGCCAGTTATTTGTAGATTTTTTAAACTGGATAGGTAGTATCTAGTACAGACTGATTTGAGTTAGGGTAAGATTGAAAATTAGGGAGCGCCAGATAGTTTTTTCGGTATTAATATGGTACTCCCTAGCAGTGAGCATCCATGAACCTACCAGGAATCGAATTCAGGACCTTCAGATCTCACAGTAAACCCGTGATTATTATAACTATTTGACTGACGTCTATTAGTGCACAGGTAACTCCAGTCAATTCGCGATATAGCGCGACGACTATCCGATGCCATTTAGTAGATAATTCACTCACTGCCAACCTGTCTTAACTCCATCAGCTTAAACTTCTCACTAGAACTTAGACAATACTTTATCAATCATGCATAAGTTTGTTCACTCGAAATTCTGAGATACATTTTATTTATGTGAGGTATAGTAATGCTAACCCACTGGGCAATATAAAGTACGCGAATTGACCTTTAAACCAACCTACCTAGCCTACTGTTTGAAAGCCAAGTTATTTAGAAATTGATTGATGTAAAGCATCTTATGGTAACATTACGATATAAAACAAATGCCCTGGTATGGCTTGAGGGTAAGAAGAGTCCGCTTTCCCTTTCGAAATCCTCTCATATAGTCATGTGTATACAGACACTGCCAGGGAAGTCCTACTCACTGCCTTTTTGCGGCACCGTTGTTTACCAAATTGAGGGGACGAAAAGCGAATGTCCAGAGCTTTAACCGGATTGGTGCATATGGAGGGTTCACCTAGGGTAGTTGGAAAACCCTGATTCCAAACCAATAGTGCACACGGGCTTCAGGATCTTATGGGAACAAGTGGCATATGGACTCACTGTTGGTCACCGGCTACCATGGAACTGCATCTCCTAACGTTGCTCACTGCCTTATGGAGTAGACCTCCAGGTCAAAGCCTCCGAGTGTGGTCCTCTAAGAAAACCACCTGCTTCGGTTTGGGAGCCTGGATAGTATCCCAGTCCGCATACAAATCGAATGATTTGTGTGGCCCATATATATTTGGTGCCTCCTTGCACTAATGTTTACATATTTAAATAAAAAAGATACAAAACAAAACTTCAGATTGTATATGCACTGCGTTTTGTATCTATCGGAATATTGAAGATGGTTAAATCTTCCAACCCTGTTTATAGACCAATTTTTTAATTTTATAAACTTAGATTTTCGTTTTTATTTTTAGGCAATCGAAATTCGCCTACATATTTAATGTGTTCTTCAATGTTATCTCTCTTAGCTAAACACGTTTTTCGCTATTGATTCGTTACCAAATTTATATGTAAAAGCAGTTCAGGTAGTTCAGTTATTTTTTGGTATTTACAACGAGTCCTTTGACAGATATTTATAGTTTAACTCAGATGATGTTACGTAGTAGTAGTAGTGTGGTGTATGTTACTTATGTCGACAGACATAAGTAGTATGTAACCCTGGCAGACGAAGGCTAATAAGATCAATTTGAAGAGAATAGAAAAGGAAATAGAAAGGAATTGAGAGTAGGAAGAGTCATACAGAATGTGAAAGACAAATGATGAAAATTTGCAAATGAAGTATTTAATGTATAGTTCTCACATTTTACCAAGATATTCTGTAATTTTGTATTTAATTACAACCGGTTGTCTCCACCTATGTTCTCATCCACAACAGTAATGATAGTAGTAATAGTAGTAGTAGAACTACAGAAAGACGTGAAACATGGCAGACTGTAATTTATGGACGAATCAGTCAAATATAAGATGAAAGATCCTGGATTTTGGCGCGAAATTCAGTCATCCATTTGGCTAGATAGCGTTTTGGCATTCTAGCTGAAGTCGGTTCGTGACGAAAACCTTAAACCTAGTTCCTAAACTTAACCATCAACTTTGAATCATAATCTTAATTCCTCACACTGCTTTATAGTTTTCATTTAGTCCTAGTTAGTAAGTGAACATTTTTAAGGTCATTTTAGCGTCACTCAAAGGTCGTCCATAAATTATAGTTTCACCGTAAAACATTTACCTTAAAAATAGAGGATATTCATAGGTTACTAATATTTGATCATAAATCCCTTAGAAGCATTCCTCGCGTATGTTGCAACCGTTTAGTTAGTAATACTGAGGTTGGACGCAGAGTACCAGATAAGTATGACAAATTAGTTGATAAGGTAGTGAATCTTGATCGACTGAGTTGGCTGGGAGATGTATCACATATGCCCAGCAGCCAGAGACTAACTCAACGCAAAATAACTGCTGGTGGAGAAGCAGGTTGGAAGAAAGTTACGAGTAGTCAAATCAAGACGTGGCACTGTTCCATGACGTTCCTGACTGTTGGATTGAGACATGTCGGTAGATGCAGACTATTCGTTTGGGGCTCACACAATTATCGTAACCAATGGTTAGAGACTGGATAAAATGAATTAAACTTATTTGCAATAACGCAAGTGCATTCCCTTTTTGTCTTCTATTAGATCCTAAGTTTATAAATGGACTATAGACTGTTCTATCCTACTAATCCATATTTTCTTCTATAATCTGATTTTCATATCTAATATTTTCTACTACAACTAATACTATAACTACCTCTACAACTCTGGAATTAGGAGTCAAAATATAAAAAAATCACCCGAATAATTTATTAATAATAAACTGAAGTTAAAAATGTTGCCCATCTGAGGATTTCTAAGTGAAATCAATCATGTTTTAGCCTACGGATAGTAAGAGAGAGCTCGTAAGATTTTAGATTCGTGTCTATGTATGATGACTTGATGAATGAATTCCAACTATTGTTGATTCCCAAATGCGGAGAAAATAGTTATATAATGAGCTCTAATTTATTTTCAATGGTTCTTCCGACAATGTTAGCTTGTGACGAAATTTCGATTAGAAAATACATGTATAGAAAATCAATTTAATTTAATGAAATAGTTTCATACTCACCTTTGTATAATTTAGCAAATGAATTAATATCGAAAGGTTCAACACATTTAAAGTTTGTCACAGGTAGTCCACTAGAATTAAACGATAAAAAAGAAACACGAGAACAAAAGATAAATAAGGATTATATTATCAAAACTACAATTCAAGACTTATTCGATGGATATTTCTCGTTCAACAGTTGTCAAAAGATCATTCTATTAACTTAGTTTTGTCATAGTAATATTTTGTGTGATCTATATGGTACAGAGATGACAACACTCTGTTAACAGCTTTCCCCAACGAATTCCACACCTTGCATTATTTACAGACTATAGGACCGGTTGGTAAAAGTGGAGAGATGATCAGTATATGACACAGTGTCGTGGTATGGAAGAAAGCTGTACAGGACTGAAATCTGTTAAACCTTCAAGACTCATCAGTCAGTCAGCTACAACGTAGGACCAGGCACATATGTGAATCCATCCAGGTTGCCATACCGCATCAGCACAACAAGATGAACACTGGATTCATAGAAGTGGTTAGGTCAAAGGTAGTAATATGTAAAAGAAAGATTGCATATAGAGATATAGTACAAGAAGAAAGAATTGGTTCGTAGAAAGAAAGATATGAAGTGATTTTAATCTCTTAGTTTAAGGGAAGACAGGGAGTGTATACACCGACGCCATTGTGATCGATTCTGAGCCATGTCACCAAGAGTCTCCAACCATTGGTTACGATAGTCACGCGGACCCCAACCAAGTGGTCTGCATCTACCAACACGGCTCAGACCAGAAGTTAGTGTCTTCAAGCACTGATGCCACGTTTTGGTTTGGCCGCCCCTAACTTTCTTCCAACCATCTCCAATACCGGATAGCATTGCACGTCGTGGTAATCAGTGTTCAGGCATACGTAATACGTGGCCCAACCATCTCAGTCGATGAAGATTCATAACCTCATCAACAGATTTACCATCATTCCCTAATACCCTGCGTCTAACCTCACTATTACTTACCCGGTGATCCCAGCAGACGCCAGCAATATTTCTAAGGCATCTGTGGTCAAATACTAATAGCTTACGAGTGTCTTCTACTCTTAATGGCCATGTTTCGCTACCGTAAATTAAAACAGAGCGGACTGCCGCGCAGTATACTCGTCCTTTTATTGATAGACGGATATCTCGCCTTCGCCATAGGTGACTCAAGTTGGCAATAGCTAATCGAGCTTTTCGAATCCGTGCTGAGATTTCGTCCGATACCAACCCATTAGGGCTGATCAGACTTCCAAGATAAGTGAAGTTGTCAACGCGTTTGACTACTTCACTCCCTATCCTTAGTTCAGGTGTTAACGCAGACCAGTTCTGAAGCAACAACTTGCATTTAGAGGGAGAGAAGCGCATTCCAAACATCCTGGCATTGTTGTTCAGTGCTACCAGAAGACTCTGCATTTTGTCAGCGTCTTCACCAAACAGGACTATATCATCTGCGTATTCTAAGTCGATAAGTGGACCTCCTGGTAGGAGATCAATACCCGAGAACTCAGTCGACGAGAAAGTTATTTCCATCAGCAGATCTATGATGAAGTTAAACAAAAATGGAGATAGTGGACAGCCTTGACGGACACCACTTGAAGTTGCAAAAGAAGATGGCAGTTCGCCATAAGCTCTGACTCGACTAGTAGTGTTCGAGTAAAGAGCCTTCACAAGGTTTATGTAATTCTGAGGTACGCCTTTCAATGACAGACACTGCCACAGAGTCTCGCGGTCTACCGAGTCAAATGCTGCTTTTAAGTCAAGAAAGACCACCATCGTCGGACGCCGATAGGTATGCCTGTGTTCTAGAACCTGACGAATGGTGAATATGTGGTCGATGCAGCCACGACCAGGTCTAAAGCCAGCTTGGTTCTCTCGTGTTTGTAGTTCACGACTCTTAGTTAGGCGTTTGATAATTATCGAGGCCAGTATTTTAGATACTATGTTTGTTAAACTAATCCCTCTGTGGTTGTCACAGTATGATTTTGACCCTTTCTTATATATTGGGACGATAAGTGATTGCGACCAGTCAGATGGGATAAAGTCTAATTCCCAGATCTTAGCTAAAATATTAGTCAACCTAATCGCTAAAATTGGACCACCATCCTTAAAGACCTCTGGAGCCAATCCATCTGGACCAGCTGCCCTTCCTCGTTTCACATTAACTATAGCCTTTTGAACTTCAGCAAGAGTTGGGGGACCTACTTCAATGTTCCATTCACACTGTCTGGGAATGGAGGGTAGTTGTAGAGTAGCTGAAGGCCAGCTGAACTGTTCTCTGAAATGTTCCGCCCATCGTTCTAGACGCCTGGACTGGGAGCAGATGAGAGTATCGTCTTTTTCCGATATAATCTCACTTACACTTGACTTATTAATTCCAGTTTCTTTTATTAGTCTGTAAAGCTGTCTTGTGTTCCCTATAGTCGCCGCCTTTTCCATCTCTTTTGCTTTCGTTGCCCACCACTGCTCACGGTCGTTTCTTAGACTTTTTCTTAACCTAGATCTGATTTGTTGTCGCTCTTCATCATGTTCGGAACCTGATGGGACGAGTTTGCGAGAATTCATCAGTGTGATAGACTTTGAAGAAATCCACTGGTTCTTTGAAACTCTGTGGTTTAAGTCGCTAATAGATGTCACTGCTGTTTCCACAGCTGCTTGTATTTCATTCCAAGCAACATCTGGGTCAGCCTCGTCTTCAGAACTACCTAATCGTGACCTCAGTTGTTCCTGGAACCTACTTTTGGTTTCCTCGCTACTCAGTTCGGTTCTAATGGGTCTTTTTACTGTGGCTTTTTTGCGTCCAGTGAGGCGCAAGCAGATGCGTGCCCGTATTAGGGCGTGGTCGGAGCCCAAGCAGGTACTCCAGAATGAGCGACAATCTTGTACCGACCCTCTCCAACGATGACTGATGGCAATATGGTCTATTTGAGTCCATCGTTGGTTTGGTGTAGGGGGTCGTCATGTTAGACGATGTCTCTCCTTATGCTTAAAATTCGTGTTTGCTAAAAAGAAACGATTGTCTGAGCCCAGTTGCAGCAGATGATCACCATTATCTGTTCGTTGTGCCGATATACTAAAATACCCACCTAAATGCCTTTCTGTTTGGTTTAAGCTACCTATCTGAGCATTAAAGTCACCCCCTACGAGTATTATGTCTGAGCGTTTAGCTTTCTGGAGAAGTTCTGAAAGCTTTCTGTAAAATTCATCTTTCACATCATCTGAGCTGCAGTCAGTGGGAGCGTAGGCAGAAACGACGAAAAGGCAACGACGTGTGTCCCTATCCTTCCGAGTTCTCACGGAGCCGTTTAGCCGAACAGCACATAGACGACTGTTGACGGGGATCCATTCTAGCAGTGCTTGTTCCGCCCTCATGCTTAGTGCTATGCCTACACCTGCCAGTCCATGAGAACTGGCCATCGGGTCACCAGATACACGAAGGGTGTATCTCGTTGGCTCTCCGTTTTGCCGAGGTGAGGTCAAGTGAATGACCACACTGGAATCCTGTATGCGTGTTTCGGAGACACAGCATGCATCAATGGTAAGAGACTCTAGGGTTTTAGCCAAGGAAGCCTGCTGACCGATTTGACATAGAGTGCATACGTTGAAAGCTCCAATGTGTAGTTTGGAGCGAGGTTTCAGTAGACCTGGGACAGTGTTTTGAGCACTAGAATCGTTGGCTATGGTGACACTTGAGGAGGAAGCCGAAGGAGGAAGTTTAGGGTTGAAAGTCGATGTAGGAGGAATAATAGGAATTGAAGAGGAAGGTTGATTATGAATACAATGGTCTTGGGTGCTGTTAGAGGTATGAGGGCGGTTATCACTTCCCGGTTGCCCACACCGTGGAAGGGTTCTTCTGGAGGTACCTGAAAAGGAAATTGGATTGGAGGCGGTCTCAGTGACCTGAGAGCGTGACCGCAGTGCCCAAGGGACAACTGCTTGAGGCCGGTCGCGCACGGCCTTTTCGTGGGAGGTTTTTGACGTGTTAGCTCCGTTCTTCAAAGGGCCTTACCGCCGGAGACGGAAATCCGTGAGGTAAGGTGAGGTGTGCATTTTTAGGGTCGACCTTTTCTAACCCCACCCCTCCTTGTGGGAAGGCAGCATCGCTGTCATGCTGGTTGTCTGAAGGAAACACTTTACTGCTGTCACACCTCTGTACAGTCAGCAGTACGACTTCGCCTTCGGACCTTGGGTTTGTTGCTTTTAGTCTTACCGCTCTTCAACCGCCCTGTCTGATATGGTAGGACCTTGGGGAACGGTTGTTCCAGCCAGTATAGCTCGGTTGCTTCATCACGATAGGCAAGCGCGACCACCACGTCAAGGTAGCAACAACGGTCGGGTCAAGACTCATCGGTTGGGGTCCTAGAGATAGTAAGATACAATGGCTTAAAACGTTATCAGACATGTCTCATAATAGGAGCTGGTGGCGATCTTGCTGTAACCCTCTTTTACTTTCTTCATAAAAATGAACGTAAGTTCTTCAACTAAAAGAATTCTTTCTGGTAGTACTATTATCATTACTTTACTCTTACATACTGATTTCTATTCATTTTTTTTATTATACTTACCCTCCTTTCTCTATCTCTTTACGATCATATTGTTATTGTGTGGCGCATACATATTTTTATGCTCATTTCTAGCAATATCTATGTGTTTAAATAAATAAATATCATGTTAGAAACCCGCTCCCTATATTTTGGGTTTGGGAGCAGATTAAAGGTTATTTATAAGAGTAACAGATAACTTTATGATTCTGAAAGCGTTCAGAGAAGACTATATTTAGATAAAACTCATTCAACATGTACTTGAGCATCCTACATGTGAGGGCTGATGATACTACGTGATTGCCCAAACCGAAGTGAAATAAAGTTCAAACCAGACACTTAGTGACTGAAACTCGAACCCCTTGACCACTAGGCATCACCGTTTATCCAATCAAGTTATTAAAGGATATAATTAAGTATAATTCTAAAGTATGTCGAAGGTACTGATTAATAGTTTGAACACTTTTGTTGCCGTGGAGAAGAGCTTACAGGAGTAATGGTTGAAGCCCGACAACGACATACTTATTGCTTGTACTATTTAAGTAAGATTGTGATTATTTGATATTTTTTAATCATATTGTTCTCGTTCTATTTTAGTTATAAATGAGCAAAGCCATTAAGACCTCTTTGTATCTACTACTCGATTAACTTATGAATTTAGATTATATGCTACTCGTATGCTGAACTACCAACACAATAAACGAGACTATCTTTATCCTCTTCTTTCCTGCCCCGTCAGATAGAGTGGGAGGTATATTTTCTGCATACAAGCTTTGCCGAACGAGACCCACAAAGAATAAAAAAAACTGCTTAAATTAATTAGTTACAAACTGATGAATATGCTTTTAATTTATGAACTGAGCAAACTCACAGAATAATGTAACGAAAATATGTTGTAAGTTGACCTTGAATTCACCTTAAATTATTATAAGTTGCCATTTAGGAATTTCTTATTTCCAACATATACATGTGGAATTTCAACTTGCATTAATTTTGTACAAAAGAAAGTGTCAGGATATCAAGTCAATCCAAGCGCCTTAGCAAAACTATAGTTTATTAAATTAAACACTCCGTATGCAGTGGGATAGCAGTTTGCAACCATAATTACCCACATATTAAGATGTACGAAATCAGATGATAAAGGTAGTATTCATTCACTCACTCTCAAAAAAATATGACTCCTAGTCTAATGTCATTCAGTAACCATATAAAGGTTCACGTGTACGACCACACATTTGTTGTGTGTAGGGATTATAAAAAGACTATCTGATTTCCCATCTTAATTTAGGTAGAGCAAGGTGTATTCAACGGTCCGGTACCTACGGCTTACATCACGAAATGATCGTACTTAGACAACCATTGAAAACTAGGAAGCATTAGAAGGCTATTTCGTCCTACTGTGAGACTGCCCAGCAGTGCATAGCCACGACGCCACCATCGACCAAAACCAGAACTTTTGGGCATCGACATGAATGTTCAATTATAAGACCAATGAGTTGGCATCCGATGCTTCACATCTACAACTTCGGTCAGTTCGTAATATTGCGCAACCACCTACTAATGTCATTGGTAGGTAAAAGCCTCATATCCAACACGATTGAACTCCATAGGTTACGGTTCAGCAGTTGGATTTCAGGAATTAACTCTTGATCATCACTATTACAGTACTAAAACGAAACAATTGTGTAGTCCTTCTTACTTTCCAATGATTTTATAACTAAGGTCAGTTTGTGATGTAAATTATGCAACTCGACAATCTCTACATATCCCTTACACTACGAAGTATTTTATTGAATAATATTCATAATAGATTAAGGATGAAAATCATATTTGTAAAATTTCAGCGATTGCATTTTAAGTAAATCCAGTGTTTCACTCAGAAATATAGTCTAAGCTTTTCCAAGGAAATATAATCAAGCAAGTGTACGTTATCTAAACATACTTTTCTTTACACACCAGAAATCTCATAGGTACTATAGCAATTTTTTTTTACTTTTAACATTGTCAACATAATCGGATGACCTGTTTAGTATACAGTTAGCCAGGGAACCATGTACTTATTTATATTCGATAATTTTGATGTTTGGTTATATTTCCTTGAAAAAAGTTTGAACCAGATAACTAAGTGCGAACAGTTGGATTTACTTAAAATTCAATGGCTGAGATTTAACAAACATAATTTTCTTCCTTAATGTATTACATTAAATTGGCACCCAACTACTGTGAAACTATTCATTCAAATTTAGTTGAAAGTTTACGGGTATCAATACCAAAGTTGAACTTGATAGTTTCAAATAAATTGAGCATTAAATGGAAAGTTAATAATGAATATATTTTTGTTATGTTCCAATGAGTAGAAAGATTGGTGTTTTGTGACTTAATCTTAACCACTTCTTCAGAGTAAAGAAGTGGCTTACATCAAGAATACAATTTTTCCATTCATTGGGACATTTAAAAAAATACATTTACTATTAGGTGAAAGTTCTTAATAGTGATAATATGTTATCATACAACTTACATTCTTGGTATATCAGAGAAAATTTTTCGTACCAATACTTCCAGATCGTCTAAATGATCTGAAAAGTGAATTTTTTTTAAAAACAAGCAAATAAACTAATTAAATTTGAATAAACATGAGGCTTGAATATTTTATTAACAAAAGTTTAATTCTGGTGGAATAGAGCGTTGTAAGAGGTGAGTAACTACTACTACTACTGTACGGCGCTAATCTCTATCGACTCTATTCAAATTACACAACTACGTTTTTCCTTGTTAAAAATGAATTACGAAACTTAACAATCAAGATATTTTCGGATTTCAGTTTACATGCTCGACGCTGTTTTGTTCCAATATTTCAGTTATCCTAACCAGTGCTGATACTTGAGAATTCAAACAACTACTTTACGATTTCTAGTCAAATGAGAAACAACTTGCAATATATATTGTATAATGCTAAAATTAAACAAATATCCTAATTATTCATTATGCGTTCAACTGCTGGAAGTGATTAAGTAAACAATAATGTTCTTTTTTATGTGAAGAGACTGATTAGCTAAATGCTGATGAATTTTTTACACGTGATTTCAAAAATTTACTAAAGTAAGACGATACTGTCGAGTTGGATCGTGCTTAGATTTACGGTTAAAAAGAGCAAGTAGATTAGTTGTACAAATATTGACTAATTTACTCACGATCAAAATATGTTAAATGAGATTATTGAACTTGATCGTTTACAGTGTGAAACGGCCTAAGTTTAAAAATCATTAAAAGTCAGAAAGGATTGGAAAGCTACTTTTTTATAATATGGGACTGCTTAGTAATATGCACTCACGATACCATAGATCAAACCCAAAACATTCAGGTTTAACGATGAACACTCAACGCTTGAACCACTGACATAGCGTCTAACGATTTACACGTCTAACTTCAGTTAGTTCGCAACATTGCGTAACCATCCTCAATACAATTAATATGTTATTAACCGGCTTCGAGTACCGGCGAGATTGTGGACGAGCATCGTTGATGAGTTTCATATTAGGGAAAAACAGCTATCCAGTGCGTTGAGATCGCCTTTGAGGTATCGTACACTCTCTCTTGTTACTTGGGTCCCTTTTAGTTTCATTAACCAACTCGGTTAATATGTTTAATGGTATATCCGGCATTAAATCACTCCCAGTCTCTCACTCTTGTCTAGTCGGTCGAAGTTAGATTGCATGCTGCACCCATATCTGTTCTCCGACTTTTTCTTCGGAAACAACGTTTCCTTTTCTGAAGACCACAGTCCCAATCTTTGACGTTGACTTTACTCCATGGAAATCTCTTCCTACTACCGTTTGCCCCACATTGAACTCTCTGAAAAATGCACCATATCATTCATTGTTCCACTTGTTTATCACTGGAGACTATGTTTGGATCTTGATTTTATTTGTTCTATTGGTACCCTAATTTTTCTGCCAAACCGCTTTTGTTGGACTTCCGTGATTAACTGTTTCTGGGTTCTGAATTACGCTGTGGGTTAGTAAACGTTTTTGAATGATATCCCACAGATTTAAGCAGTACTTTTTAAAGCTGCCCACAAACCTCTCAACTAACCCGTTATACTGAAGATGGTAGGGAAAGTGTCTTGATATGCTTAACGGCACCGGCGATGGAAAACCTGGAGAATTCCGCAGAAGTAAACTGAGGTCTATTATCCGATACCGATACATCTGGACACCAAAACAAGCTGAATTCCTGTCTCAATTTTTCCACAGTACATACTTCATGTAGTGAACTTTGGGCATTTGGAGGGAGCATCAACAATCACCAAGAACTGTTTCCCCTTTGTGAGACCGGCAAGATCCACGTACACTTATGACCATGGCTTTGTCGCAGCTCCCCAACGTTTCATTTTTGTCTTTCGAGAAGCTTTCGAGGTTTGAGCACATGCAGAAAATTTCGCAATATATTCTTCGATTTGAACATCAATATTTGGCCAGTAGACGTATCTACGTGCAAGTGCTTTCATCCGTGCTATCCGTGTGTACAGCATGCAGTTCTAACATCACCTTACGACGGAAGCACGTGGGTATAACTACCCGATGTCCAAACATCAGGTATATGTCCACGAGTGATAGAGAAATCCGTCAATGAGCATAATGTTCAGTATATTTGTTGTCTATATGAATAGACCACCCATGCTCGAGGTAACTAATAATCTGTTTCAGCTCGTAGTCTTCTTGAGTATAGCATTTAATATCTTCAGCAGACAATGGTGTTGCTTTTACAGCAACTTGTAGTATTTGATGAATATCCTCTTCCAACGATATCGTTGCAATAAAAGAATCTTCACTTTTATGTTTCTGATTCGCAATTAGTCGAAATAAAGCATCAGCTTATCCAAATTTCCTGTTGGTTTATATAAAATTTGTAAACCATATGTACGTAATGTAACAGCCCAGAGTTATAATTGATTTGCTGTATATGCAGGAATACCCGACTTCGATCCAAATACAGGTGAGTGGCTTGTGATCCGTTAAAAAAGTAAATCGACGACCATAAATCATTTTATGAAATTTCTTTACCGCAGAAACTAAAGCTAATCGTATTTATTCAGTTTGACTGTATTTTCGTTTAGCTACATTGAGTTCGGGATACATGAGTAACGGGCTTTTCTTTACCATCAGGAAAACGACTGATGACAGCTCCAATTCCATAATTGGGAGCATCAGTGGCCATAATTATTTCAAGCTTTGAATTATAACTGGTAAGCAACAATTTAGGAGATAAAATTCTTTTTATTTCGTCGAAAGAATTTTGACATTCTTTTTTCCAGTGCCATGTTGCATCAGTCATCAAAAGTTGGTTTAATGAGTCTACACATGTAAGCTATGAACATACCATAATAGCCAATTAACCCCAAAAATTACGTTATATTAGTAAACACAACATCTAACCGGCCTAACAGTTGGCGCTCACTTTACACCGAACAGTAATCGGTTAAATTGATAGAATCCATGATAGGTATTAATGGTTAATAACTCCTTTGAATTATTGTCAACTTCCACTTGTAAGTAGGCTTTAGATAAATCAAGTCCACTGTTTAATTTAACAAATAAATTCTCTGGCAAAGGTAGTGGATATGAATGGTTTTGTAAAGCATCATTTAATCCTGTTGAAAAATCTGCACAAAGGCGAATAGCTCCGTTCGTTTTCTGAATTACTACAACTGGTGCTGTTCATGTTGAATGGTTAGTAGGTTGTATAACACCGAGCTTCTCTAGTTGATCTAGTTCCTTGTCAACTTTGTCGTTAGCTGCATATGAAACTCGACGTTTTGGACGAAAAACAGGTTTCATATCTTGTCGTAAGTACAATTTTACCTTTCCAACTATGCAGCGTCCCAACATTTTCCGGAATAAGTTTGTATGTTCCCGCAAACGATCTTTTATCGTCATAGCTTTTTCAGTTACATGAACGATAGACAGATATCTAGAATTATTTGAGCTTTTCATTGAGCATAGTTCGCATAGATTTAGTCCCATAGATTTAATTTGTTCATCCAATCTATGCTAATAAGGTCAAAATCATGTCTGTTCGTTAAGTAAAAATTACTTTTGAAGTAGTTGTCTCGGAATACAACAAAGCATTCTATTATTCCAAAAAGCTTTAATATAAGTCTCCAGATGCATTCCGAGCTGTATTGTCAGTCGGTAATTCTTGTGAACAGTCAATTAAATTATATATTCGTTTAGAAATTAACTTGATATCCGATGCTCTATCCAATCGTAATCGAATATCAACACCATCAATATGCATTTTTTTATCATCTATGCTTAATGCCAGTGTAGCATATATACTGTTTATATACTTGTTTTGATACTGGTGAAGATGCTTCATCGGCCTTGACCCCAAACTTCTCTAGTTCGGCAGTCTATTTATTTATGACCGACTTTAGTGCATATAGGAAATCTGTGATTTCTAAACCGGCAAATTTCCGAGAAATTCCAAGCATTTAGTTGAATGTTTGAAAATTTTTGAGTGAAATTTATAACTCATGGTACTATTTCGTCTTCGACCTGTCTTAACAGCATGAACACAATGGTTAGATGGTGCCGCACTTTTGGTTTCCAGAATAGCTGTACTCTGTTTTAGGTTTATTAATCGTTGGTCAGTCAGTCAGTAACAACGTAGAACTTCGTACGTACGTACGTACGTACATCAGTTCGAGTTACCATACCACATTAGCACAGAGATGCAGTTGTCGATTCAAATCCCGTAGTGGTATAGGTGGTAAGAGTATAAGCAGAAATCGGAAAGACTAGGGTTTGAAGATGTTATTCAAGGAGTGTAATACAGTGAAATAAATTTGGAAAGAGGAAAAAAGGAACATGAAGAATTCAGAAGATTAGAATTCGGGAGAACACAAAAAGTGGATGCACCTGCACCATTGCAAGCGATTTCCAGCCATGCCATTCAGAGTTTCTAACCATCGGTTGCTATCACCTCGCGGTCCCCAACCAGGTAGTCTACACCTACCAACATGGCTCAGTCCACTTGTCAGTGACGTCATGGATTTGTGCCATGCTTCTCGGCTCTCTGAGCTAAGATCATGTGTAGTATCTGTCCTTTGCAGTGTAATTTCTGCAACGGTTTCTAAACTGAAACTAATGAAATTGCCTGTATTTTTCACCTCCGGATGGGTGCTGTGAACTTGCTCAACCCCGTCTACGTGTTGTGCCTCGTATTGCATTAATCGTTGGTGTTCAACAGTAACAGTTTTCAGGGTCTTTTCATTGTCAAGTTCCGTAAGGGATAGCAACCGCACGATAAAGTCAACATCGAAGGGAGAGTTTGGACCGGAAGTGAGTAATAAGCATTTAAATTGATCACTGGATAATACATTTAATGTAAACCGTTCTATTCGTAAATTTACTCTACCAGCGTACGTAGTGTAGTCTTTGTCAGCTTCTTTAGTCAACTGTAGACAATTATACCGGATATGAAATGGTGACATTTGTTCATGAAACATTTTATTTAAAAGGTTGACAGTTCCATTGAAATTGACTTCTCATGGATGTTTAGACAGGGTATGCTTTTTATACTTTTGATGCTCATTGAAACCAAGTTTCTGCAACGACAAACTGTCTATGTTTGCGTCGTCCATAGCGACAAATTGTACTTGGAAAATGTTTTTCATTCTGCCAAACCATGCTTCAAAATTATGACCACTATCTGCATCGAAAATAAATTCCGAGATTGGACTGAGATATGACTCTCTACCTTTATGTCCTGGAATATCTGGTTGAGTAGAAAGTCTCCCCAAAACTGCTTCCAGGATTTGCTGTTGAGAAGCGAACATCTGCTGCTACTGCTGAAATAGTAACTGTAATTGTTCAGAAGAGGGTGCCTTATTATTTCTTTTCACTGCTACTATCATCGTTATTAATTTCTTTTAACTCCCAAAATTCCCGCTGCCAGTTTTTATATTACTTGCCCTTGTCAATTATCACGTGACAAAATCGCCAATCAGACCCTGTCCCTATAGTAAACCAATGACATGCCAAAACAGCACTAGCAGCCTTGCGTCAACTCTGAATCCTTATTGGTCCTTAAAACAGTAACTTCTCGCCTAGCCCCGCCTGTTGAGTAAAAAATGAGATCTCAGTCTCCGCTGTGTGGACCACATATTTTAAACATGTGATTGAAATACAAGCAGACCAGACCGCATCACACCGTAGAATAAGAAATAATTATTATACAGGATTAAGTCGCAAGTGAGTGTGACACTGTAACTAATACATTGGGAATAACTTAGGAATAGTAGATCGTATAATGGTAGCCAATAGGTCAAATGAAAATTCATGATAAAAGGAATATGAATATACATATAATCTAGTTACTTAACAGTTATACAATAAAATTATATATATAACAGTCTATAAATAGTTCCTGAAAGTTAACCATAATTTAATCTTCAGATACAACACTATCAGTCTTAAAATATCGATTTCGGTAGCTTGAATGTGTTTTTTTATTAACTTAATCTCAGTGAACTTCACACTGCGATGTTGCATCTGGATCAAACGAAAGTATATATGTTTGGCTTATGATATGAAGCCGTCGAATGAAAGATATTTCGCTATAAACATGGAATTTTACAGTTTATCAAGACTGTATGGTTCGGGTCCAAGAGACAACAAAACTCGGTGGTGTGAGACGTTATCAGGCACAGTTGGAAATAAAACCCGATAGTTTTTCATCAAACCTTTTGAACAAAAAAATTGAGACAAACTTCACCAACCCAACCAAGTTCTTTTTGATTGTATTTTAAATGAACAGAACCTATTATTAAACACTTCTTGTTTACTGAGTCGCCCCTTTCCTCTTCAGTCACAATATGATTACCGCTACATTTGTGCCGCTGTTTTTGGTATCCTACTATATCAACACATATGCTAGAAATAAAATAAGGTATACAACAGCATCCAAATGTAGCAGAATACTCTTCCAAACGAAAAGTTCCGATTTAAAAAAAACATATTAAAAGCATAGATCAAACCTACCGTCAACTTCTTAAAGTGTACACACTTTTGAGAGACTTACGTTTCGACTGTACAGCAAGTGTCATTCGATCAGAAGAATAAAAATTCTTTCGATGTTTATTTAAAAGTGAATAAATATCAGTACCATTTTGTTCCGGGATTTCACGTAGCGATTTACAATTGCCTGAAGACAAAAGAGGATAAGAAACAATGTCGAAGATAATTTACACACGACAAGCTTAAACCAAGAATTTTGATAATTCACATTTGAAGGCATCGAACAGTGGAGGGTGAACCATATACACATAAAAAATTAGCCAATAAAAGATGAACATACATACCATAACCGAACAGTTTGTAGGGAGAATCTTTACGAGACAAATGACCAATTAAATAGTGGAGTCGTGAAGAATCCTTGGTGTATGCCAGTTCGAATTCTGTAAACAAGAAAAAAAATGTATGAATAATATAATATGTAGTTTATACACAAGCAAATCAGACCGCACCACACCATAAAATGAAAATTAATAATTCTACAAAACTAAGCCAAAAGCGGCTGTGAGTGTAAGACTGTAACTAATAGACTAGGAGTAACTTGAGAATAATAAATCGTGTAATAGTGTTCAATGGATCAAACGAAAGTTAGTGATAAAACGAATATGAACATACATATAATCTAGTTACTTAATAGTTATCCAATAGGAATATATTTAATAATAGTCCACAAATAATTCTTGGCAGTTACCATTCACTTACTCTTCGTTCGGAAATAACGTGCTAAATAGATGGTTCGTCATGCTATGGGACTCCTCAGTAATGTGCGACCACAACCAAACATCCGGAATTGAACACAGTATGTTCAGGTTTTGCAGTGAATGTCTAACCATAAGAACCACTGAGCTAGCATATAACGGTACAATTTCAATATTGATCAATTTGTGACAGATACGGTCATGCAATGACATTTGTGACAATCGTTTCACTCTTGATACATCTGAATACCAGTCACACCCCAATGGTCCCCTGGTTTTCAGTGATACAGATAAATCTATGATAAATACAACCTACATATGGAACTAATCTCCATAAATCGCCTTCAAGTGAATATTCCTTACTTTAGACATACTTTAAATGTGTGAATTCAACGAGACAAAAACACAAGAATGGTCAAATAAGTGTTCATATAACAATTTTACAGAAGTTGAATCGCCTATATATGCATACAAACAATTCTTAGTAGAACAATATACATAATAAATACTCAAGGACTACTTTACTTACCGCTATTAACTGCATTTATCTCACGATCTGTGCTATCTTTGCTTAAAAGTGGTGAAATGAAAAAGTTGGCAAATTTATCAAGGCAACTAGCAAAATGTTTACGTTTTACATCGAAATGAAATAAAGTGTATTCATTGCCTGTCCAAGCATTATTAGTTCCACCACGCTGGCTAAGATATGCATCAAAATCATTCTCTGTTGGATATTTTAAACTACCCATAAATACCACTGTAAAGAAAAAAACCAATATATGTGTAATATTATTAAATGTTGATTTGTATCAAATAGTATGTTGTATTTTATGAAAGAAATTACCAAACTGATCCTCAAGTAAATTCATCTTACAGTACAAATGCCACGATTTTTTACCACGGATACGCTTTGCTTGAATCAAAACAGTATACTCCTGACAGACTTATACAGAGAAATATTAGGTAATATTTTGTAAATGTAAGCTATCAACAGTTAGGTACGTGATAAGTCGAGGAATTATACTGTTGTGTAATAAACTATAATATCATCAAAACTGATGTGCACAAATAATAATCACTGTTAAACAATGAAGAAAAAAACAAGTTCTTATATGGTCTTGTCTGAGCCAATTACTTTCTTAGATTGACACTCTTTGAGTGATGGCGATTCAAGAAGTGAGAAAATATGAGGAATCGGTACTTCTTACAAGTATAAAATATACATAGAAGTACACAAAATTTTCAACAGTATTAGCTTAATAAAACTTACTATGCTCCAAAAAATGTGATAAGCCCTGAGCTTCTACTGGATCTGAGAAACTTCCCACTTTAATGCACAATGCAGCAGCAGACTGAGGAATTCAAAACACAACATATTACAAGTTAGGCTACAAAAATAGTGAGCACTTTCAACACCGAGATTAGAAAGTAGCTGACGTGACTAATAATAAAAGTTTCAGTATTAAGTGGCTAAAAGAAGTATGATTATTGCGGTTTATTTGCTAACGGTTCTTCTTATGAAGAAAACTATTGACTCTGTCATATATACTGCTTTAATAATCAGAATGCAAAATTATTAAATACAAGACTGATTGTCACTAAAGCTCTTTTGATTCTTAGGAAATTTATCCAATGATTGCTTTTCCACAAGGGAACTAAGAGAAATAAGAGAAATCACTGGCTCTTGAAGTACAAGAATTAAGATACTTTAAGAGAATCAAAGCCAAGCAAAGCTGAAAGTATGTCGAATGTTATTAGTGAAATTCTCTCTTGGTAAGAAATTCATATTACAACCGGACCCCCGGTGATGGAACTAATGTTTACTACCAACGGATGTTGACCATGGATTAATACTTTAAAGATCCTGTAGTTATTTTTATTTTCGATATATAAAATTGGGATACTGAATCAAAGTATCATTCTGTCAGCTTCGGAGTTACGATCGGCAGGGTTTGGAAAGACAAGATTAAAGGTAAACGAATCAGTCAAGTAAGATTTTTGTCCTGCTTGTGATTTAAGGTTTGAGCTAGATATTAAGAAATCCATTGAGGTAGTGCATGTTGACCTTTGAAGAGGTATTGATGTCCAATATTGGACCATGAATGAAGCTAAAGTTGAACATACTACACATCTTTGCTTACATCAGTTACTTTCTGCGTAATAGGATATAAATTTAAAGGTAATGAATTTCAACAAATTAAACAATGTCCTCTTTTTTTGTTTTGTATCAATTATTGACCAGAAATTCAAATAATTACTTCTTTTATTTGCAGATGTTGACGAATGAAGCAAACGCACGATGACAATTATGAAATACAAATCAGTACAAAAATTCTTGTTAGATGGTTTGAACATTATTTCTTAGGAACTAATCCCAGTAAAAGTGTAAAAGTGTATCAGTACACTTTCATTACAGCTAACGTCAGTGTCTTTTAATAGATAGCGATTTTACATTGTTTTGAATCACAATGACTTGTTTCACACGACTGACCGAAGTATTAATAATTCAATTTTAAATACCTTTTTCCACGTTAGCATGTTAACGACTAGAACACTTTGGTGGAACATGTAGTTTCAAATCCAGATGTTTATTCTCATATTCGTTGCAGTCCAACAAGAGAGACCTGGTCTATAATGTTTACCTTTGAGGATATCATAAGGAATTATTTTCAAACGCTATCAACACATTATCCCCAGACACTTTCACTACACATTATCCACTAAACTTGGTGAAAAAATGATCAAGTCACATGACGCTGCTAAGTAGATGATTATGTTGGAAGTGCATTTTTTGTGACAAGACAGTGCAAATATTAATTCTGGAGACTTTGCAACTCAACCGCTTAAAATTTCATCAAACATAGGTTTTAATATTAGCTAACAGAGACTATGGTCTTATGTTTTGTTATTATGAACAATAAAGATACAGTGTGGAGCAATTTCAAATAAACTGCGACAAAAAGTACTCTCAACATTAAAATATTTACTAATTTGCACGTAAATTCAAAAACTAACAGTCTCTTGAGGATACCATCTACCATGGTAGGTGATCACCTACACTTTCTCGGTAAAGACTAGTTTCATCACATTCCCAAAAACAACGACAGAAAAATAATCAATCTTGCCTTCGCCTCCTGGTCACTGATAGGGTTTTCTTCAATATAAACATCTTCGTCTTCCAGGCTTTCCGAATTATTACTTTCAAGATCTGAATCCGACAAAGAGTCATTGGGTGCTTCCTCCCCAGGCTTTAGGTTGGACACTAATATAGCCCTCAGTCCATTGTCCAATTCGATATACCTTTTTCAGCTGTCAAATAACATTATTGAACTTACCTGTAACTGCGGTAATCTATCCGACTTTTCTCCAACTCGAAAAAGCCGTCACAATTCATTCTCAGCGCTCTAATGTACCAACTAATCGGAGCGCCACGAGGATCTTAGCATTTTAGACCTTCAAATAGGGGTAATTTTTTGTTCCGTTACATTGTGACAAATGTTTTCGTGTCGTTTGTCGTGAGACAATGTTGATGAAAGTTAGGGAAATATCGCCAGTCTTAAAATGTTTCGCACATAGATGGTGCAAAGTTAAATCAAATCTGGAACTAAAATGACCTTTTTCGCTTACAGAGTTTTATGAGGTTTGTCTCGGGGTGGTTACCATATATTTCAAGTGCCTAAAATCGGTAGTATACTTGTAGGCTAGGTTCAGTAGTAGGAACTCAGAGTTCTGTACTAGGACGTCTTCTTGATTTATATAAACGATCCTCCAAAACAGGTATCGTTAGACCTCTTGATCGTGATGTGAAACTTTGGAGAGAGGTACGCAACCAAGAGGATAATTTGGCACTTCAGGGGATCTGACTGGACTTAAAAGTTGGGTGGATTATAACGAACTTACCTTTAACACTTCAAAGTGTAGAGTAGTCCATCTGAGACATGCTGCACACCATAGCTCTTCCAACTCATCCGAGCCACTGGCAGCAAGAAGTCTGGTGTGAGCGAAACAATCTGCGAGGATGATGGGATGCCAATCACTAACATCCATCGATGTCTTGGACGATGGGCAGAATTTTTCGAAGGGCAGTTCAACTGGCCTGCTGCTCCGGCAACCTCAGTCAGACTGTCCTGCCCTCCATGGCTGGTGACGACTGATCCACCAAATGAGGCGGAAGTCCGCAAGGAACTCCAACTCTTGAAACGCTACTTATCACCTGGCCCAGATGACTTACCCTCAGCCTTTTTTAAAGATGGTAGTGACTTTCTGGCTAAGGAACTGACGACGTTGTTTACAAAGGTATGGGAACTGGAGAGCGTACCAACGTCATGGAATGAGTCGATAGTTGTCCCTATCTTTAAAAAGGGTTCACGTCGTTCCTGTAACAACTATCGGGAGATAAGTCTACTTCCGATTGCGTCCAAGCTACTGACTTCCGTCATACTTAGTAGGTTGCTCAAAACCCGAGAAAGATTGACTCGTGAGGAGCAGGCTGGGTTTCGTTCGGGTCGACGATGTATTGATCATATCTTCACCCTCCGCCAAATGTTAGAACACCACCATACTTATCAAAGGCCAACAATCGTAGTGTTTCTTGACATCAGGGCTGCCTTCGATTCGTTGGACAGGACTGTTCTCTGGGATGGTCTATTGAAGAAGGGTGTGCCTGAGAAGTTTATTAACATCCAAAAAGCCCTATATAAAAACACCTCAGGCAGAGTGAGGGCATACAACCACCTCTCTCCATTGTTCCATTCGAGCAGTGGGGTTAGGCAGGGTTGCCCAATCTCACAATTTCTCTTCAACTTTGCCATCGATGACATTCTGGAAACAGCTCTGATGAATGTAAGTAATGGTGGTGTGGATCTGTTTCCTGGAGAAAGACTTCTCGACCTTGAGTATGCGAACGATATTGTCTTACTGTGCGATAATGCCCAAGGCATGCAATCCGCACTTAATCAGTTGGCAATCAATGCCCGTAGGTACGCTATGTGCTTTACACCTTCGAAGTGCAAAGTACTTCTACAAGACTGGCAGGATTCTAATTCTGTACTCACCCTGGACGGTGAGCAGATAGAATTAGTCGAGAAGTTCGTGTATCTGGGTAGCATCATAAGTGCTGGCAGTGGCGTAAGTGATGAGATCGATTCACGTATAGTGAAAGCCAGAGCGGCTTATGCCAATCTGGGCCAACTTTGGCGCCTTCGTGATGTTAGTCTGGCTGTAAAAGGTAGGATCTACAACGCGTCGGTGAGAGCAGTTTAGCTCTATGTTTGTGGCATTTGGCTTCTCCGAGTTGAGGATGTTAGACGACTCTCTGTGTTTGATCATCGTTTGTCTCCGAAGGATTGCTGACATCCAGTGGCAACACCATGTCAGTAATGCAGAGGTTCGGCATCTTGTGTACGGCACAGAGACGATAATCCAATTGGCGTCACTATCTTGAAACACCGACTTCGGTGGCTTGGACATGTTCTACGAATGTCGTCCCAGAGAATTCCACGTCGTGCATTATTTGCCGACTCTGGGACTGGTTGGAGAAAGCGGAGAGGTGGTCAGTGTATGAAGGAGGCTGCAAAGAGCTGGCGTCTAGTAATCCTTCTCGACTCCCTGGCTGGGGTCCGAGAGATGGTGCAACACAGTGGCTAGCGACGTTATCAGATATGGCTCAGAATATAAGCCAGTGGCGATCCTGCTGTAACCTTCTTTTACTTTCTTCATAAAAAGTGGTAGTATCTTTCTTAACTGAAAGATTTCTTCTGATTTTACCTTTCCGTTTCCCCCATTTTTGTTATTATTACACTACCTTACATTAACCTGGTCGTTATTGCTCTCTTTTTTTACGCACCTTACCTTTTTTCTCTCTTCGAATTCTCATTGTTATTGTGTGGCGCATATATATATTTCGTGCCCTCTTGTACCAATATTTATGTGTTCAAATAAAATAAATAAAATAAAACAGCTACAACTTAGGCGACTCCCATCTAAAAGTATTCAAAGTTGAAAGAGATTTAAAAAGTGTTGGTACCCTATGATTTGAAGTCTTACGCCATCTGTGACAAGATGCCTTTCGAGCAAACCTTGCATTAGAAACACTGAAGCGCATTTTTGGCCAGTTTGACGGAAGAACTTTCCACATAATCTTCAACAGTTTTATTCGAGTATGGAAACATAGTATTTCCTCCCTCACTACAAAAGGATGAGGACACTTTAGAAAGTATCCAGCGGCGAGCCACGAGATCAGTTCAGGGACTCACATTCCCGCAGAAGAAACCTTACTAAAAAGCGTTTACCAGAATAAATAAATTAAACCATCTAAACCCTGTCCTCCGTGTTGAAGGATCTTTATTCAGAAGAATTATGACGCCTCATGGTGAAAGCCAATATTCTTCGGAAGTCATGAGGCCAATACTTCTTTTAACAATCAGAGCAACAACTTTTACAGGCACATGGAACATCCGGACAATGTGGAAGACTGGGTGGACCGATCAAATAGCTGAGGAAGTGATGAGATCAGAGAAACCCATTGGACTTAAGCTGGACAACAAAGGCTAGATATGGAAGAGATGCTTCTGTACTCCGGTCATGAAAGAGAAAATACTCTACACACTCATGGAGTTGTTCTAATGCTCTCCAAATAAGCACCTAATCCACATATAGGATGGAAATCTCGTGCACCAAGAATAATCAAAGTATCCTTCAAAACAAAGAAGGAGGGTGTCACAATGAATATTATCCAATATTATTCACCCACCAATGATAGCTACGATGACAATCAAGATCAGTTCTATGAAAGAATGCAATCAATCACAGAGAAGTGCTCAGGAAAGGATCTCATCATTCTGATGGAAGATCTAAACGCCAAAGTCGGAATGGACAATACCAAATATGAAGATATCATGGAACAACAAGGACTGGAAGAAAAGAACGAAAATGGTGAGAGATTCGCAAACCTATGTGCTTTCAATAAACTGGTCATAGGCGGCACCATATTCCTACATAAACGCATACACAAAACCACATGGACTTCACTGGATCACACTCGCAAAACCAAATCGATCATATCTGCATCAACAAAATGTTCAGGAGGACAATGGAGGACGTGAGAACCAAGAGAGAAGCTGATATAGCATCAGATCATCACTTGCTGGTCGCCAAGATGAAATTGAAACTCAAAAAGTACTGGACAATGGGATGAACAATAGTACAAACGTTTAATACGGCTTTTCTTCGGGATACTGACAAGCTCAACAAATTCAAGATAGCCCTCAGCGATAAGTTCCAGGCCCTTCATGATCTACTCTATGGAGAGGGAAGGTAATCACCAACATTGGAGAACAACGAAACAGATGGGTAAAACACTTCAAAGAACTCTTGAATCGACCAGCTCCACTGAACCTAGCCAATATCGAAGTAGCACTCACGGACCTCCAAATCGATGCTGGTCCACCAACAATTGAAGAAATCAGCATGGCCATCAAACAAATCAAGAGTGGCAAAGCAGCAGGATCAGACAACATCCCAACAGAGGCACTAAAAGCAGACGTAGCGGCAAATGCAAGGATACTTCACATTCTCTTCAATAAGATTTGGGATGAGGAACAAGTACCAACAGATTACAAAGAAGGTCTTCTGATCAAAATACCGAAGAAAGGCGATCTCAGCAAGTGTGATAACTACAGGGGCATCACTCTTCTCTCAATACCAGCAAAAGTCTTCAACAGGATATTGTTAAAAAGAATGAAGGACTTCGTTGAAGCCCAACTTTGTGACCAACAGGCAGGATTCCGTAAGGATAGGTCGTGTACAGACCAAATCGCAACTCTACGGATTATTGTGGAACAATCAATTGAATGGAATTCATCACTCTACATCAACTTCATTGACTACAAACAAGCATTTGATAGTGTGGACAGAACAACACTATGGAAGCTTCTCCGACACTATGGCGTGCCTCAGAAGATAGTCAATATCATACAGAATTCCTATGATGGATTAAACTGCAAAATCGTACATGGAGGACAGCTGACAAACTCGTTCGAAGTAAAGACCGGTGTCATGCAAGGTTGCGTACTCTCAACCTTTCTCTTTCTCCTGGTGATCGACTGGATCATGAAGACGTCAACATCTGAAGGGAAGCATGGGATACAGTGGACATCTAGGATGCATCTGGACGACATAGACTTCGCAGATGATCTGGCTCTTCTATCAGGAGAAAGTGGCGAAAATGGGGAGAGAATTATGGACCTACACACATTCAACAAGTTGATTATAGACGGCACAGTGTTCCCGCACAAAGTTAGATGAGTCTCACATGACCACACAACAGAGAACCAAATAGTTCATTTATGTATCAATACAAAATTCAGAAGGTCAATGGAAGACGTGAGGACCAGGATAGGAGCTGACGTAGATTCTTGTTGTGGCCAAGAT